GAGTGGAAATGTCTGCAAAACTGAATAAATGAAATCATTATGGTTTAACTTAAGTTCGCAGTACAGTTCAGGGTATAAGAGTGAAGTATAGCGTAGTACTATAGAAATATACTGTAAATATCAACTTGCTGTTTGTTAACATTTCTCATCTATCCTGTACATTATACTGTCTGGTCTTATTAGTGGAGACGATAAATGAATTGACTGGTGCAGATAATAATAATAACACACAAAAAACAAAGACATTTCCAGAGGAACACAACACAGTATTAACTTCATTTACATTATATATACAACAACTATTAGGAAATGAGATATTCTACAGACAGACATGAAGTGAAACCAAGGTTCAGGTTCTAGTCTGGCTGTCTACACACAGTAAAACTGTTTTTGTTTTTGTTTTTTGTTTTTTTAACCAGTGTTTCTCTGGCACTAACACCTCCTCCGTGCAGCTCTGTTGAGAATTACTATCAAAGCCAAGTCCATTATCACAGGACCACGGCCAGATAAACTAAGGCTGTAAAGGAATATTAAAGCAGGCGTCCTGACTGTACTGTAGTACCAGAGTGTGTGAAGTACCAGAGTGGTGGATGAGGTTTGAGGGGCTGACTCATGCTGCGTGTTACAGCTGCAGCTGAAACAGAAATAGATATCGATCTGGTAAAACAAAAAACAAAAAAAAAAACTTTTTTTTTAGTTTGTCATAGTTTGTAGTATGTCCTGTATTAAGATTAGAGGTTGACTCATAGTCTTTATTTAAAAACCAAAAATCTACAAATAATTAATAATGGAGTTGATGGAAAATGTCCAGCCAATACTGATTTCTGGGTTTTAAAGCTGCAGGTGAGTCATGGTTTATAAGACAATTTGATATAATTTTTATTAAAATACTCCTAATTGTTTTTGATAAATTTAAATCTATGAAATCAACACGGTGTATTTAGTTTACTCCATCGTCAGAGCAAGTGTTGATGTTGTCATTAGTCGTCAGGCGATGAGTTGTTACACCCTGAGCCTTCAGGTTAAGTGACAACATCAACATACAGACCTGTGTGTGGTTCTTGGTGTTCTGTTGTTTAAAATAACAAGTTCAGTTTATGAGGTAACACATGTCCATATCAGTTCTTATGAATAAAAAAAATCGTATCGTGGGTTGAGTGTTTCGTTTCCCTAAGACACACACACACACACACAGAGGGTATATGTGTATATATATTTATATATATACATATATACCCTCCTGCCTTTGCCTGTCCTCCCTGTTCCCTTGGCTGACGTAACCCCCCCCCCGTCTCTCTGTCTCTCTGTCTCTGTGTTTGTGTCTCACAGTCATGCAGGAGATCTAAAGATATGGGCTGGAGTTAATCTCTGCAGTATTGTGCTTCTCTGCAGTTTAGCCATGGTAGACTGGCTCACGTACCTCCCTACAGCAGAAAAGGGAGAGTGCTTGCTTTTATGTACACTTTGCCTCCACTGCCCTCCCCACCTCACCCCCTCTCCCCCATCCACCACATGGCCCTAATATACAATGAAATATACAAAGAGACTCTGGTTAACTCCATACGTGTTCTCGGGTTCATCTGGTGCCGGTTCAACACCCACGTCAGGGACTTTGGTGCATCCTAATGGTTTTTTTTTTCCCTCTCCCCTCAGTGCTTGGTGGTTTCATTGCTTCATTTGTGTGATCACACACAGCATCAATAGCAACAGTAAATCAACCCGGTGCACTGATGACTGGGCTCTGCTGCAGCCTGAGGCCAGTTAATTAAAACGCCAGCGACGACGGCGTTTGTAGCTATCTGTGCACTTTCTTTTCTTCTTGCGCTCCTGTTTTCAACAAAGCGCCGGCACATGAGCCGTTTACCTCATCATCAGACTGGAGAAGGGGCCACTGTTTGATGTGTGCTGTGTTTGCTGAGTGGGCAAACAGAACACAAACGATCATCTGTTTAGGAAAATAAGGAGTCATAAAAAAAAAACTAGTGTAGAGAACACACTGGGAAAACTTAGGCGATACAGAGTAATATATAGGGATTATACACATATCTAAATCATCATTACAAATAATTATGTTTTATTCTAATTCATAGACTGTATTAGACCAGTGGTTCTTAAACTTTTTATACTCTGTACTACCTGAGAAAACATTGATCTCTCTCTGAGTACCACCATGATGACCAACATTAGAATACAGCAGCAGTGACCTTCCCTGTTAGCTTCCACCACAGGAGAGATGTTTATAAATGATTAGAAAGATGTTTATGTTTAAATGTTGTATTATTTGTGCATGGTATGTTTCAGATTTATTCAACTGAAAATGCAAATGTGAAAATACTAATTTTCCCCACGTACCACTAGAGGACAGTCCCGTACCACCGGTGGTACGTACACCACCGTTTGAGAACCGCTGTATTTTTATTTTCTAACATAGATTGTTAAAGTAGGTTTCTTTAAGGCACCAAGCCTTGACATTAACATTAACATTTGGTGTTAACAATAAGACAGCTTTTGAAATGATAACACCTGTCCTGGAACTTTTTGACTAACACTGACCACAACTAAATTAGAGAAGTCTTTTTCTTTCTTTTTCTTTCCATTTCTTTTCAAAAACACACTTGGAGACACTGAAATAAGCATCTTCAATAGTAGAAAAAAAATCCAATTCTAAAATCCATTTGCCTTCACAGACAGTAGAACACTGTGGTCTGGACGCGTTGTTCGCTGCAGCTTCTGCTCCAATAGTTGTTGACCAAACCACATCACGGCTGAAAACAACACCTGAGGTGAAAATAAAACCAGAGCCAACGGCCGGTGGTTTGGATGGAAATCTTTTTCCCTCATTTTTATTCCGTCTGAAGCCAAACTCCACGTGATCACGGGTGTGTTTGTCATGAAATACCAGAGAGTAATGCACCCCAGAGGATGAGTACTACTGCTAAGCAAGTACGGTACCCTGTGATCAATCTTAGCAGGTAGCTAATGCATACCAAACACAAATGTAGGGCTGGTGTTAGCGCTGCCGTTCTGCTGCGTTCACTGCACAAACTGCAGACAGGTTGTTCCAAATGCTAACAATTTCAGGACAGATTTGCACCATCATCTTGTAGTTTCACGCTAATGCTACTGCAGAATCATAAAGTACAACAACAGGCCTCATATCAATCCACCTTTAACAAAGCATCTGCTGAAACAACGGGTCAAAAGTAGCTGTTTAGCCATTAGCGTTGCCAACATTTATGACCCCTGTGCCGCATTGCTTTTAGCGTTAGGCTTTGCTAGCGCCCAATAAAAGAGCAGGTGTAGGACATCACATCATGACCTGAGTTTGAACCCTGCACAAAGACCTGACCCCGGTCTCATAAAGATTCATACTGTGCCATCATCACCCCCACCTTCCCCCTCCCCCTTTATTACAGATACAAACCCCGGTGCGAGTGGAGCCATAAAACAAATGAGCCGATTTTTCCAGATAGCATCTCGTCCAGAGCAGGCGTCCACACCCTTGTTGCTTGTGTGTTGCTACACTGATCAAAAGGTGTCACCGGTTTGTGCACAATGCAGCAGTTTTGATATTCACGTTGATATTTTCCGAGCAGCGGCCTAGCCTGTCGGGTTTTCTCTGCAGTGGCAGTGGTTGTCACCTGTAATGAATCACTAGCCCACAGTATTATGTCTGTGTAGCTCGATAAGAGCTGCTTCTTTGGTGTATCTGTCCCATCACCTCACAGTAAAAGAGGAAAAAAAACACCTTTTTTATTACGTATATAGCTCTGCTGGAGTTTCTTTGCAAGAATTGAAGCCGGCCTTCATCTTAAATCAGAATTTTTATGAGCACATACGAAGAACGGTGCATCATTCATCACACTTTCCTACCGTGGCTACATTCACAAATTCCCTTCATGCCGTGTGTTTCTTGGGGGAGAAAGATAAACGACCCTTCCTCCCTGCAGACGAGCAGCAGTGAGAGACAGATGTCCAGACTTTAAGAGCTAGGCTCCGAGGTCAACTGCTTCTCTGTTGCTGCCCCCCGGAGGCGTACTCTGAAACATCAGTCAAATTTTACTGACATTAGCTCGACCAGTCACTTGACCAGTATCTTAAGTGTTGGTCAAAAAGTTCTAGGATAATTTAAAAAAAAATGGAAAAAATACAATACTTTTATTTACTATAGAAGTACCTTTGGTGTAAATTACTAGCATTAGTTTCAACATTATTCTTCCTTTAATTATTCAAGCTGCTGCATGAGGAAAAAGTGCAGATCCAGTAACTCGATACTACTGCGTTGGGTGGTGAGTTAGCGTGGTGTTAGTTCAGTTCTACCTCATGAGCTGATCATTTAAGTTGGTCAACAATTTGGAGATACAGTATCTCAACATCAGTAATGAACGGCGTAACATCTCTGGAAACCTCAGCTAACTGCACTTACCAGACTTATTATTATTTACCATTGTTTTTATTCTATCCATAATCATATGGATATATCTTCTAATACAGTGTTTCCCAAACTGTTTTTCTTGGGACCCATATTTTAAAAGTCACAAACTTTCACGATCCAAGTCACTAGATATTATTCATAAACTCCAGGGAAACATGATGCGATACGACCTAAAATAAATCTCTTGCGACCCACCTTGTTTTGCACGGTTAGGTTTTTTGCAATGTGTTTATTGCACAACGGTATTGGTACTCGATATCAGAGAGTACACAAGTAAAAGTACTTCAGCTGGTTTGGAATGCAAGAATATATTGATATGCTTAAATATTGTGATATTCCGTTTCCTAACACGTATTGATATGCTGAAATATTGTGATATTCCATTTCCTAACACTATAAGCAGGTAACGGTATTGTATTTATGCTATGTTGACAGTTTTCGTACAATCTTTGTTTAAAAACACTCAATATTTCCTCGTGCCTACAGTATCACAGTACATCCCAATGTAACTTATCGTCGCCTATGTAGCCTGATATCGTATCGCAGATTCTTACCAATACACACCCCTAATACTGATAATGGGACAACCCGGTACCATCAGTGTGCTGTGCATACAACTGAAAGTAATTGCAGATTAAACTAAATGCAGTCTAATATTTCATTATTTATCTTTCCTTTTTGTAGAATTCTGCCAGCTGAACTACATTTGCAGATCCATCTACTCAGACAAAAAAGTATTTCACAATTTTCACTTTAATTTCTAAATGGTTCAGTTCAAGAGAGCAGTCTCCACTTCAATTTACAATGGTAAGATTTACAATCCAAGGCCAAGTCGAAAAGTTTCAAGACTATTGAAAAAACTTTTTGAGAACCTTTCTCTACAAATCATCCATTTAACCATTACATTAGAATTGAATATAGTTTTTTCTTCTTTGTACAGTGTGTACTGACCATTTACCATTACTCTTGTACAAACAAAGAACAAGAACAAAGATTCAACAGCAGCGGCAGTAAATGACCCCTCTGACAGTGGTATCATGAAATAACAGCACCAAAATGTTTGTTATCAGCTATCGATCCAGTCTGCCTCAGACATATTGACTTACGTCATTAGAGGAAGGAAATGGAAAACCCCGATCGCTCACAGCAATCAAAACACAGTTGACTTGATTTACAGTGTTGTTGTCTTATAGTCCGACCTCATCTGTGAACTACTCGCAGTCAATCCCAACCTAGCTATTTATAGAGACGTTCACTTTCTGTCACTCCTCAGTGGTCTGTCAACAGCTTGGACACAACACAGCCGATCTCAGTGTGAGCTCTGGGACGCTGTTGGAAAGAGGCACTTAAGGTTTCAGCTGATGTTTCAGCCAGGAACAGGGTCAGTGATGCACCTGTTATCTGCAGGGTCAGAGCATGCTAACACAACAGCAAAACAGCTTATGCATAATATGGTGTGATAATGTTTGACATCGACCACAGCTGTGATACGCCGGCTCCTCTGTGGTTTATTTCAGCTGCGTGAAAACAAAGTTAAAGCCAGCTGTGAACACAGACAACATGAAAACAAGTTTATCCTGAACTCGACTCTGTTCACAGGATGTTTTTGTGTGTGTTTGTAATTATTTTAAAGCAGGGCTGTCAAACTCATTTAGACTAACTGTCAATAACGATAAATCCATGTTTTTCCCCTTTGTTTTGTGTATTTTTATTTTATTTTCAGTGGAAATTGAACTGCCTTGTGGGCCGGTTTTGGCCCCCGGGCTGTATGTTTGACACCCCTGTTTTATAGTATCAATTATCTCTCAAGTAGCCAGGCATACAAAAAGATAAAATTGAAGTGTTGTGGTGCCGTTTGTTGAGCTGTGAGGATAAATTCTCCACAGTGATTTATGACAAAAACAACAGCTTCCAGCGTGTGATGGTCTCTTACTTCTCTGTCTGTCGTTAACTCCCTCTACAGGTAGTATTGTCTACCTGGGGATGATGTTCGGAGCCTTCTTCTGGGGCGGCCTATCAGACAAGGTGGGCCGTAAACAGTGCCTGCTGATCTCCATGTCGGTTAACGGCTTCTTCGCCTTCCTTTCGTCCTTCGTTCAAGGCTACAGCACGTTCCTCTTCTGCCGCATGGTCTCCGGCTTCGGGTGAGTGGATCCAATACGCCATTACTTTTTTTATTCGCTTGTCTTTACTGCAGTAGTTTTTTTTTAATTTAACTCTACGCCAACCCTCTCCCCAAAGGCTTTCCTTGTGAAACCAGAATTTTCTCACCAAACCTCCCTTTGAATTCCTCTTTTCTGCTGCATTCACTCAGATGGAGAGCAGGAAGCTTTTGTCAAAATGAGTGTAGCAAATAGGAAGCTTTTGTCAAAATGAGTGTAGCACAGTAAATGAACAGCTGACCACATCAGCAATACAGTTCCCCTTGAAGGGCCGGTTGTAAATAGAAGACTGTATAGATCAGGGGTCCCCTAACCCCGGTCCGTGGACCAGTACCAGTCCATAGGTCACTTGGAACCGGGCTGCAGGACACAAAACGGCATTTGGTCCCCTGGGCCTTGAGTTTGACACGTATGGTGTAGGTACAACCGAATATCATTTGGAACACTGGCATAAACAGCACCACCAACACCTTGGGCCTACTGTGTGGCATGAAACCAACACAGACGTTAAGATAAATATATGCTGTACAAATAAATAATAAATAAAAATAAATTAATAATCGAAATAAAAAATAAACCCCAGATTATTGGTCTCAATGTATGAAACACTACACTGACCAACTTACCTCCACAGACTCCTCAACTACAGGCAGCCGTCCAAGACAACAATAATAATGAGGCAGAGCTTGGGAATAATAATGAGCGCCCTCTGTCCTGACAGATGGAAAAAGAGACAAAGTATGACTTTGCAGTGAGACGAGCACAGACAGGCGTCATAAAAATGGCCGCTGCTGCTGACTGTTGTTACCCTCTGTTTGAAAGAAATAAAAATAAGCTCTACATTTTTAGTTATTCCCAACAAACCCTTTGGCAGTTAGCTAAAAGTGCTAACTCAGCTGTAGCGATGTAGCTGTTAGTTCAAGTGAGTTCTCCTATGAATTAGAACAGTGGTTCCTGACCTTTTTTGGCCTGTGACCCCATTTCCGTGGACATTTTTAGTAGCTGTGGTTTGTGCAGTCACACGATCACAGCCATCAATCAAATGTTGCAATTTATTTGAACTTGAATTATATTCATGAACAGGAAAGAATGCGGTCGTTTAAGATTGTGTGTGGTGTTTGTGATTAATAAATAAATGATTTGAAAAAGAATAAGAATTAGTTGAAGAAATATTTTTATCAGTCTTTTTTTTGCTCAATTACTAAGACATCTCAGACGACCCCTTTTGGGGTTGCGACCCCAAGGTTGAGAGACTTCAGTCATTATTTTTTAGATCTTTTTGTGTCAGTCAGAAGTTCCTGGTCTTCCATTGAATTTATAAACTATTTACATAATCACATAAATAATATAACATAATCATTTTGAGACTGTAAAAAGACTGTGGTCGTCATAAACTCAGGCTAACGTACGTAGTGTTACACCATCCTTCTTTAAGTGGGAGACTCCAAACTCCTGACGCTCAGACTGAGCTAGAAATACATAACACGCTGTAATCTACTGTATATTTAAATGGATTTCCTGTCTGTGTAAATGGTGTGTGTATAAATGTACACATATCACTGCGTACTGTTTCCAGTTCACTCACCTCACTCGTCTTATTTTGGCACTAACGTCTCTGGACTCACCAGCTTTGAGCTCATTAGTTTTTTAATTACAGTTGCGTTGTTTTTAAATTTTTAATCAGCAGATTCAGCGTTTATGTCATCACTTAATCCTCCATCTGTATCCACATGCAGGCTGATGTGTGGAGGTAGGAGATTTAACAGGCTGAACAAACACTGTCTGGAGCGGCTGTGGTTGTTTTTGCCGGAGTCTCAATCTGAGAGAAATGCGATTCAGCATTAAGTGCTGCTGCCGGACGGACTCGGGTGGTGTTGGTTCCAATGTTCCATTAACATTGTCTGCACCTCATTAGCTCAGCCACCATGAGCTGTCTCTACAGAGTCCTGCTGCAGAGGCATTCCTAATGGGAAGATCAAGGAATGAGTTTTAGTTAAGGGCTTCATATCATAAATCAATAACACCTATGCACACACGCAAATACACACACATACACACACACACACACTGGAGTTTGTGTTTTGTGAGAACTTCACATAAACATGAATCATTCCCTGACCTCGTTCTCTGAGATTAAATTACAAGTATATATGTCTAATCTTCTAAATCCTTATCCCAACTTTTTTTTTTACCGCTCTTTGCTCTATGCTTTAAAAAAAGGTACAAATGGATGATCTCTAAATAATAAATCTGATCTAAGCAGTATGGACCTCCAGTGTTGACACATCACAATAATCCCAGCATCACTCCTCTGTTTGCTGCTGATTTTCCGGCTGAGGTGACGTGAGGTTTGATCCATCTTTGGATAATGAGTGGACTTTTCCACTTTTTAACCCCAAACTGATACTTTTGGGGGGGGGGGCTACTTTTGAAATGATCAGGGTAAAATGATACACCTTATAATGTAGTATTAAATCTATATTTACTTATATAACCTAAATATACTTTCAATATACATGGTATATTATTGTACTTTTATTTGATTAGATGCATCTAACTGTATGGCATAAATAATCAAAACTTACAGTATATGGTTACTATGGTTACTAATTTAGTCCTAAGAAATTTAATGTAAAATAGACATCTATACTTTGAAGGTTTAATTTTTATTTCAGTAGCTCACGGTCCAGCAGCACTCCCTTATTACTACTGCTACTACTGTTGGATTGATCTACCCATTGGGCAGCCCTGGTGTACGGTCTATGAGTGAGTCCAAACACTAAGACTCCTGCCGCGTTATTGTCCATAAAATCCCACTGTGTTCTCAGTTTCACCACAGTCCACAGCAGTTGTATTCTTTTCTTAACACACTGCTGACTTCACTCATTTCAAACACAGACTTTTTTTTTTTTTGTCTTTTTTACTCGGCGTCAGCAGAGCGGTGACGTTGACAGCTCACTGAGAGTCTGGTTATAATTGAAATGACTTACACCGAATAAGAATGTCATTGCAATTTCCACAATTTCTCCTGGTGCAAAATGTATCCCTGCAGCAGCGTTTCAAAGAATGTCGTATATTTGGACACAGTTTATATGAAACCAACTGCTGTTTATACAGTCCTCTATAAGAAATGACAGTTTTTCATGTAAGAAATAAAGACGTATACATATGAACTGGTGTTTTTGTTGATCTAAGGATAAAAAATACTGCGATGTAGGTCTGACCAGACAGAGCTTGAACATTGTGTAAGGTAGTTTTTTTATATGTTTAAAAAAAGAAATTGAATTGCAAATTTAAATTATTATTGACGTCTAGTCTCGGCCAGATGTGGACCCTGGGTCAGGAGTTTGAAACCCCCTTTAATACACACTCTTTATACTACAACATTTTTCCTAAAACAATTTCTAAAACAATTCTCTTTTCCCAGGATCGGTGGAGCAGTTCCAATAGTCTTCTCATATTTTGCGGAGGTCTTGGCTCGGGAGAAGAGGGGAGAGCATCTGAGCTGGCTCTGCATGTTCTGGATGATCGGAGGAATTTATGCCTCAGCCATGGCCTGGGCCATCATCCCACATTATGGTAAGTGACAACTCTGTCCAGTGAAGTAGATTGTTACAGTGCCAGACTGAGAAAAGAGCCCTTACACTGAGGACGGCTTGTACGGAATAATAAAATGGAAGCAACAGAGGAAGAATGATAGCAGCCACGGCGAAGTGGAGTTCCACCGCCGCCGTTTAGAAGACCAGGCTGGTGAAGGTTTTAAAGGGTGAAAGTCAGAGATGACGGTGGACATCAAGCACGTCCCTTCAACCCCATCTGAACATCTCTTCAGAGAAAATTATTTTTATAAATATATATATATATATATATATATATAGTATATATATGGTGGAACCTTGAGATACGAGCATAATCCGCTCCAGGACCGAGCTCGTATCTCGAATCATTTTTTCCAATAAGAAATAACAGGAAAATCAATTTTCCAATAAGAAATAACAGGAAAAAAAAATCAATAATTTCATACTTTATTTTCATGGTCATCCTGCGTTTTTTATTATTTTCCATGTTCAAGGTTGAGTAATATCAAATGTTGATAAGTTAAAATCTGTGGGAAAAATACTTGCAGTACTGCATTAATTCTTTGTTCAGAGTTTTAAGTACACTACCATCAAACCACATTTTTCCACATTGACCGTGGGACTGTTGCTGGGGAGACGCCGCATTGGTCCCAAAGTGAAGAGAAAAGCACCGACTGGTATTTTAATTGTCTTTGTGAAATGAGAGGAATGGATTTAAAGGAATTTAATCAAAGTTCACTGGAGTTTTGAAGCAAAAGCTGTGAAATTAAACAAGGCATCAATTAAATGAAGAAAATACAGGAATCACATCCAGGAGAGAGCCACGTTAATTCATAACTTTGTTGTTTATCCTGTATCAAAGCTAAGATTTGATTATAAACCAGGCAAAGATTCTCAGAATAATTTTTTTTTTCTTTAGTTTTCCACTCAGGACTAAAGCTCAACTTTCTCTTCTTCTTTGCTTCTGTCATGAACTCCCATTGAGCAGGACAGCACAGTGTTAGCTGAAGTTTCATCACATGACGTGTCGCTACAGCCTATGAATATTTGAGCGGATCGGAATGTCGGGCTTCTTCTTCTTCTTCTTCTTCTGTGGGTTGTTCCCTCCAGGGGGCACCACAGCAGATCATCTGCTTCCAACTTTTCTTTTTTTTTATAACATCCACCAGGCTCCTCTGAGGTCTTCCTCCTCTTCCTCTCTGCTCTGTCAACTCCATCTCCAACATCCTTCGTCTCCATCAGTACATGCCCATCTGCATGTTTATCCTCACACTGACCTGTGTCTTCTTTGTGGGACAGCGTGACCTCAGTCAAATTTGACATGAAATAAGTAATTTCCTGTGTGCGTCTCAGCGGTGTTGCTGGGCGACGGGCAGAGGTATTAGAGCTGAAATCATTGTCCAACCACTGGTGATGCTCTGATAAAGCAAAAAAAAAAAAAAGTGTGATATATTAAAATCATGGTTCTACAACCTGAGTTAATAATCCAGTGAGGTTATGGCAGAGAGACGATGAGAAAGTAAAAATGGCCGACTCGTACAACAAGTCTGATCAACTGTAGTCAGAGCAGCTGAAGGATAAGAGACGGGGGTGTTGCAGGATAAGAAGAAAATAAACTAAATAAAATCAGTCTGGAGGAGAGGGGTGGAGGAAGAGGAGCAGCAGAGAAAGAGAACAGGGAGGTGGGGGAGAGGGTTTGATTTATGTGGCTTGTGTCAGGGATAATGGAAAGGTGAAGGGATACAGCAGAGAGCTGAAGGGAAGCTGCACAGGAGAGAAAACAAAGGAAACTCTGTCAACTACAAGGAACGGAGCAGAACACCGACTGAGTCGTGTCGATTTAGTTGCTCTCTGACGCCTCACTCTGGACAAGTTCCTGAAGAGTCAGACTGGTCGTTTGGTCATGATTGTCAACCTGTGCCGTTATTCTTTCAAATACAATATCTGACGCCATGAAGAAATCTCAAAGTACCAAAAAAACTCTTTGCTGCTGTAATTCTTACTGTTTTCTAATAACAGTCAGTTATTATTGGGGCAGTGGTGCCTTAGTGGTTAAGGAAGCAGACTTGGGTCTGGGAGGTTTCAGGTTTGAGTCCACCAGCTGCCAAGTTACCACTGAGGTCACCGTGCCCACACACTGCTCCCTGGGCACTTAAAGCTGCCCCCTGCTGGTGATGGGTTAAAAGCAGAGGTCACATTTGGTTGCGTGTGCAGTGGTGTCACAATGACAAGTAGTTCACTTTCATAAATTGAATGTTATAGTCTATTTGAATCATTCTGACAATTTCAGAGGTCAAAAGGTCACATAACAGAGACTTTATTTATTGTCATTGCACAGAAACACAAGACACAAATGTGTAAAATTGATAAAATAATTAGTTTCATCCATTTGTCCATTTTTGTAAAACTTGTTTCCAGCATCTTTTGTGATGTATCTTTGATTTGGAAAAACTTTTTTAGGAGTTTTCTTGTACTTGTGTAGTACAGCGTGTGTATTACATAGTAGCCCTAGTGTTTACAAGTCACATTCTGTATGTGTTGAACTCATGAACTCAGATATATACAGTACATATTCTGTGTATTTCCTTCATATAGTTGTCACATTACTGAGTGAAGGTTAAAAAGCTGTTTTCTCTCAGCGCCAACGCTACGGAGCAGAGAATCACGTTGGATTTTTTTTTTTTCAAACAAAAATAATTTCCATCTTCAGGCGTTTTGTGTGATTCATAAACTTTACTGCTGTGCGTGTGAGTGTGGCTGCGTCGGCAGAGGCTCATAATTGAGGTCAATTGATTAAATGCCACTTTTTTTAACACGTTTTGTCTCCAAGATGCAGTGGTGTGTGGATAATGGGTTCCGCCGCAGTGCTCTTCACATTGACTGGCGGACAAAGGCCAGATAACTGTGTGTGTGTGTGTGTGTGTGTGTGTTTCAGGTTTTTAAAATGATTTTTAAAAGCATTTATATGAGAAAAATGTTCGGAAAACTGGTGTGATCCATTTTTGCCCAATGTTTGAAAAACGAACCTCTGCATTGGCTGAGGACAGTGTCCTTGGGGATGGTAAAAAAATGTGTGTGTGTGTGTGTGTGTCACTGTTGCTCAGTGGTTACAGAAGATAAATCCTGCTGAGTATCTCTGTCAGTCCCTACCATCCAGACTAACACCCTCACTGTGTGTATATATATATATATATATATATATATATATATACTTATACAGTATGTGTTATATGATATATTATATTTATATTGCATTTTATCTTATAATATATAATAGTTATATGATATATTATATTTATATTGCATAATATGCATATATTGCATAATAATAGTTCAACTTTATATTTTATCATGTGGAATACTTACATATAATAGAATATTTTTTTGCCCATATGTCATGTTTCAGTATTTTAAAACTTCTCACATTCAATATTTTTAATTTTACCATGTGCAGTATTTTATTATTTAATGTGCAATATCTGCTTTTTTAAACTTCTTCAAGTGCAATTTCTTTTTACCAAAATGATCTGTATTGAAATATTTAAAAATGTTATGTGAACCCCATCCTCACACCTCCATTCTCCCTTTGAAATATTTTATTTCTTTTTGCTCCGTTATTTTAGCATTTCAAACATTGCTCAGTGAAATATAATAATAATATTTTTCTCATGTGAAACATTGTTCTTCATCTGCTCCTCTAACATTTGAATCTCTCACTTCTCTTATATGAAACTTTTTCCCTGTATTTCTGGTTCGTTGTTCTTTTATGTTCTGTTATTTTTCTGTGCTTTAATTATTTTCTCTCCCCCTCAGTGTGTCTGCCCTCTCTGTGGTCCCGGGGACATAATTAAGTTTTCTGGATCTAAAACAGAGTCTGAATTACACTGTACACCTACGTCTTTGGAGCTGTTCAGACAGAAATAATAGAAACCCAATAAGCTGCTGTGGCTTTTCAAAACAACTGAGCAAAAAAAAAAAAAACTGTACGTTTGAATAGAATTCCAGAAAAATGATTTCACTCCTTCGTTACAGGCTGGAGTTTCAGCATGGGCTCGGCCTACCAGTTCCACAGCTGGAGAGTGTTTGTGGTGGTGTGTGCGCTGCCCTGCGTCTCCGCCGTGGTTGCTCTGACGTTCATGCCTGAGAGTCCGCGCTTCTACCTGGAGGTGAGGCAGTGCAGGACGTACAGTGGAACACGTCTGTGAACTTGATGAAAATATCAATTTAGTGAATGCAGCAAAAACTGTTTTGAGTACGCTATTATGGTAACTATAAAAAAAAGGTTTTAGCTGAACATACTGTTTCACACAAAAAAATTATATCAGCCAGTCTGAGCTGTCTTTTATTAATGAATATATTATCAGAAATATTATTTCTATAGTCAAACATTTATTTAACTACATGTTGTAAATGTCTGATCAACCAACAATGTCACAGCCCCTCCTCTATGGCCTGTAGGGGGACAATCATTATTATTATTATTTATTAAATTGAGATTTGTGATTAAAATGTCAAACACTTTTCTCCAATTGCTCTTTTTGTTCCATTTAAACAGTTTTAGTTTTTTGCTGATTTAATGCAGGGGTGTCAAACTCAAATTTAAAGTGGGCCAAAATTAATATTTATGGAAAAATTGTCAACAATTGTACATGTTTTCCCTTCTCTCCAGATCTGTAGTGTAGATTTTTTTCATATGGAAATGAACATTAGTTTTGCGTAAACATTGAATCTGGAACAACCAAAGGTTAATATTATAAACACATGAGAAATTAAATTTGAAATAAAACACAGGCCAAAAAATAAAATGAATGTGCTATAACATTTTGTATGTGCACATACACCGCTAATACTACAAATCCTGCCAGTATATAGAGGCTATATACTGGTGGACCAACTATAGTACACATTTGATATGACCTCGTGGGCCAAATATTACGGGCCAGATTTGGCCCCCAGGCCAGAGTTTGACACGTGATTTAATGATCAGAATATGTAGAGACATTTTAAGACATTTTTTGTCTGTAATATTCACCAAGTCATGATATATTAATTAAGCTGGTGTTTGTTCTGGACTCTCTCTCAGAATGGGAAACACGACGAGGCCTGGATGGTGCTCAAACAAATCCACGACACCAACATGCGCGCCCGTGGGGAACCAGAGAGAGTTTTCACGGTGAGTGCGCACTAGTGTCAACAACACTTGGCAACTCTCCCTCTACTGCAGTGCCGTCAGCAGGTGACAAGTCGGTGTCTCCCCCTGCAGGTGAACAGGATTAAAGTCCCCAAGCAGTTGGATGAGCTGGTGGAGATGCAGAATGAGTCAGCCAACCCTGTGCTCAAGGTCCTCTACAAAATCAAGGCTGAGCTCACAGGAGTATGACGCACTTTTTTTTATTTTTGCCTTTGTCCAAATACGCACACAGAACACCAGACAGAAGGTGTAAAAAAAACAATTCCCTGTTCCACAGATCTGGTCGACTTTCATGAAATGCTTCAACTACCCAGTGAAGGAGAACACGATGAAACTGGCTGCTGTCTGGTTCACTCTGTCTTTTGGGTAAGAGAGGATTTCACAGCCACTCCTGTCTGATGTCACTGTCACTTCACTGAGGTTCTGACAGCAGCTGTGATTCACAGATGGTGAAGGAGAATGTGATTCCATGAGACTTTGTTTTTTTTTATTTCTTTGCTCATGAATCACAGCATTGATTCCCAAGGTGACACGACATTGTTCGTCTTTTCTTTGTTAAAAACAACTACTTTTAGGTTATATCTATTCTGTGGTTTTGCTCTTTGTCTCCCCTAGTGTTGATAAATATTGTTGGTAAAAGAAAACAAAGGAAATGCATAATAAATACATATTTAAATTAGTCCAACAACATGTTCACTAAGTGTACAGTTATATTTAATTCTGATTTTTTTTAAGGTTTAAATAAACCTATAACTGCCCTTTTACTTCCTAAACAGATCAGTGTTGTTAATTCAAGGATCACTTCCTGTTCCCAGAACTCTATATAGATCTAAGATATTAGTGCACACAACGGCTTATCTGGTCCACAGCAGGTGTGGAGGTGTTCCTGAACTGACGTAACATTAAAATTGAAGCCATTCTCAAAGCAGGTTAACAGGACAAAAGTGGATTGGCTTCTTGGAGAACATGTCCACACTGGCCCCGTGCCACGTAAACTAGTTTAGGAATGGGTCCAAACATGTTCACTCAAACATGTCCTTTGGAAGAATCTGTTCAGATATTCTGTATTAATTCGGCCTCAACCATTCCACATCTGAGCCCTTTTCATAGAACTATCCGTACGTTGTTATTTCACATTTTAATCGAGAATCCCGTCGCCATGCTTGTGTCCAGGTACTATGGGCTGTCTGTGTGGTTTCCTGATGTCATCAAACACCTTCAGGCCGATGAGTACGCGTCCAGGGTGAAGATTCACAACAACGAGCACATCGAGGACTTTACCTTCAACTTCACGCTGGAAAACCAGATCCACAAAAACTCTGTCTTCCTAAACGACAGGTAAATCAAAGTTTTTTGGTTTTGTATCGAAAGTCACGATCTTGTCCCGTTCAGGGACGTCCTTTCTGTGGTCATGTTCACAGACGCGGCACTGGTGCTAATATTAAATCCTGCCTCCTTTATCGCCCTCACCAGCAGGAAATTAAAGACCTGATCTCTCTCTGGTTGCTGTTCAGTCCCGTCCTGTCTTTCCTCCACTAAACACACATATACACACACATATATATTTATATATTTACACAGAATATAGACACAGTTTTTCTTCCTCCTCTTGGTTGTTGTTAAATAAGAGAGAAGATGCACTGATGTGTTGTTTCTGTTCATTTTTGTCCTCACTGGAGACCAGAGTAAACCTTTATTAACAGATTAAATCACGGCCGAGCCTTCATATTGGACACACTGAAGTAGGAATATATAGAGAAATACTGCAAGAAATACTTGGTACAAGCACTTTTGTACCTGCTGCAACCCACTGATACAAACAAAAGATTTGGCCTCAGGAACTTTGGGGCCAAACCTCTGCACGTTAGTGTATACACATAATTCAGTATATGTTTGTACTTTGACGGCACCAAAACTGTAGTTTCCTAAGATGATGTTGTGTGCTGCTTTGCTGTCATTAAATTATTTTAATCTCTCGTCTCTCAGTTACGTCTTCGTCTGCCTCCATCTCCCCCCAGGTTTATCGGCATGAAGTTCAAGGCAGTCACGTTCGTCAACACCTCCTTCATAAACTGTTATTTTGAAGACGTTTCCTCTGTGGGATCCTTCTTTAGGAACTGCATTTTTGTAGATTCGTTTTTTTACAACACAGGTAAGTGTGTGTTTCTTAGATTCTCTACGTTCCTCCCACTACTGCACGCTGGTCCCATATCTGAGGTGTTTCCAGGTGTACCTGGATCACTGATCAGCATTCTTTTTTTTATTTTTTATTTTTTAGGATATTTCAATTTAGATCTAATGTCCAAGCTCCTGAATGATTGGTGTTAATGTCATTGTCTTGTGTCACTAAATCACCTATTAAACTTTTCTGCCTCTACACACGCACACACACACAGAGAGAGAGAGAGAGAGAGAGAGAGAGAGAGAATGCCTCTTTGAACTTAGGATTCTGTATCATTTCATTTATCATGCACTGCTAGGTCCTATTCTAGACAGTGGAGGGACTGGAGCCAATCAGCTGTGGCTTCACATACAGAGGGTGTGTTTCCACAGGTTGAGATACGACTACGGAGTTTTCCAGTATTTTCTTGTCCATGACGTGCAATGACACATTTATTAAAAAACATTTCATTGCTGAGAAAGGGACATGTCGATGTAAAGTGAACTACACTTCTAGTCACACAGGTGGATAGTGTGTTACTAGGTTATAAAGAGTGTTGCATTCATGGCCTGCTCTACTTTAGACGTGCTGGATTAATTGGGACTTGTATTTTTTTCTGTTGTTTCTCAAAAAAAAAAAAAATCACAGAATTGTCCTCTTGTGGAGGTTGTGTCTGTGTTCTAATGCTGTGTGGCTCATGTCTGTGTGCACTCATTCAACTCACTCAGCACCTTATATGACAGAAATAAAGCCTGTGTGTGAAAATGGCAGCTGCAAAATCAGATTAATTTTGTTTTGAAATGTCACCTATAGGCTGCATCGAACTGTAGGCTATAAGTCAGTGTTCCTCTTCCAGAACAGAAGGACCCCCCCCCCCCACCCACCCCGGTCCGGTCCCTGGGGTGCTGTTCTGACCCACACTAGGTGCATTTCCAGCAGGGCAGTGTGTGAGAGCAGCTGTGTGTTAGACAGGAAACGCTGATGTGATTGTATCGTCTTTATAGCACCTTCGAGGCGTCCTAGGGTCCTAGGCCTCCTTAGCACAGTGGCGTGCATGCAGCCCACTGAAGACACAGCCATGGCCTCATTCTACCGCTGTACAACTGCCTGATATATAAAATTGTATAATTAGATTAGAAGCGGATGTGGATTACAGAGCATGTTTACTTCCCAGAGGCAGCCTTTTAGCTCACTTCCTAAAAATGAAGCCCAGTCTAATATACTGATTTGCAGACACGGAAGGTGAGAAGGAAAATGTACGACCAGCATTTTAGACGATCTGAGGGAACTGAAGCTGAGTCAGACCATGTGGGAGCGCTGGCTGGAAAACAGTTACCTCTGGCACTGAGGAAAGAGCTGAACACAGGAACAGTGAGGGGCAGGTTAGGTTTCTGTTAATGCCCCGTGGGAAATGAAGTCACTTTGCCCCCAGTAACGTGTCTCTAGAGAGCGGAGATAAAACGAAAAGAAGAGGCACACAGAGCAGTGTGTTCTGTGAGCAGAAGGCTTTTGTTTCTCCCTGCTGCAGATGTTTATGAATAGAATGGTTCTGTGGTAACAAAGCACTCATGGGAAACTGTCCATCCATCCATCCATCCATCCATCCATCCATCCATCCATCCATCTACTCATCTACCCTATCCACCTATTAATCCATTTTTGCATTCATCCATCTATGAATCCATCTATCTACCCCTTCATTGATCTAGTAATCTGTTTGTCTACCCTATCCATCCATCCATGCACCCATCTATCATCCATCCATCCATCTATCATCCATCCATCCATCTATCCATCTTTCTCTCCTAATCTATCCTTTCATCTTCCCACTTGCCTATATTAAATATCAATCACTGTATATTTTGTTGTTGTTTCAAGATTACCTCGACAATCACACAAAACTGACTGACTAACTGAGGAGGTAGTTTCACAACCCAAAATAATGTTTCTACACCATTCCTACCTCTTGGTGTCAAAGGTGTGTCAGACCAGGGTCATCGAGGGGTCACTCCTCTCTGCTCTCGTGTCTCTTACATCCGCAGATATTGACGATGCCAAACTGACAAACTCACGGGTGAACAACAGCTCCTTCCACCACAACAAGACAGGCTGTCAGATGACGTACGAAGACGATTACAGCGCCTACTGGGTTTACTTTGTCAACTTCCTGGGAACACTGGCCGTGCTGCCTGGAAACATTGTCTCTGCGCTTCTAATGGACAAGATAGGACGCCTCAGCATGTTAGGTCAGATGGAATATTCTCCTAGCAGTTTGGAGCCCTGCTTCTTTTTAAACACTTCAATGCCTTTTGGTTCGGCCTCTGTGCTGTGCCTGGAGTGACCTCTAGTGACGTGAATAAGGTATGTGAGATGTGTGATGTGTTTCCTCCTGCAGGAGGCTCCATGGTGCTGTCAGGCATCAGCTGCTTCTTCCTGTGGTTTGGCACCAGTGAGTCCATGATGATCTTCATGCTCTGTCTCTACAACGGCCTCAGTATTTCAGCCTGGAACTCCCTGGATGTGGTCACCACTGAGCTGTACCCCACAGATAGAAGGTGTTTCCCATTTATTTTAATTTTCTCATTTCACATTTGGATATTTAATGGTTTTCATATAGTGCACCTTAGTTACCTGGCAAATTCCACTAGTGATAGTAATAAAGCTATAAAGAATATACTGCCGAATATATAACCGATGTCCTCCACAATAGTAAACATGACATAAATATTTATGACTTCAAGAAAAACATAAAAAACACATTTTGAAGGTATTGTCCACAACAGGCTTGGGCAAACGTTTTGGCTGGCGGGCCACAATTGTCCTAAAATTGAACAGGGGGCGCGGTCAGGAGCAAATCTAATATAAATAACATGTAAAAGTCATGCATAAAGGCTAAAATGCTTTTTAGCCTTCTCTATGCCATCTATAGGGAAAATGTGGAAATTGTAGCGAAAAGGCAGAAATATAATCACAATACAAGCTTTTATCTATATTATATAAATAATATAAAATTTAAAATTTAAATTATATAACTTGGACACTCGGATTACAAAGCTAAACGGGCCGCATCCGGCCCCCGGGCCTTAGTTTGCCCATGCCTGCTCTACAATACTAAAGCAGAGACATTTATAATAATGTGATCATTATTGTGAGATGCTCATTAACATTGGCTGATAGCAGTAGATCATAAAGGTACATTGTATTGATCACTGCCCTCCTCTTGTTTGCAGGGGCACGGGCTTCGGCTTCTGTAATGCCATCTGTAAGCTGGCAGCCGTGTTGGGAAACCTGATCTTTGGCTCTCTGGTCGGCATCACGAAGGCTATTCCCATCCTGCTGGCGTCGTCCGTGCTGGTCTGCGGTGGCCTGGTGGGGCTGCGGCTGCCGGACACGCGGGCCAACGTGCTCATGTGAACGTCTACCAAAAGCAGTATTGTTGTTTACCAGGTGTCCACTCGTTTTGCTGAATAATGTGTTGTATAAACTAGAGTAATTCAAATTTTAAGGGCATTATCACAGGCACAGGCTGAGATCTTGCCTTGAACATTTAGTGTTCAATCAGGTGGGCTCTGTCCACAGTTTTACACAGACTGTTATTCTGTCTTTTCTGAGTGAATCACCTGGTAAATTGGGGAAAAGTGCAGTCTATTTTAATTGAGAGCTGCGGATATAAAGAACTTGAGGGCGGTGTCAGTGGTCAGTCGATGTGGATTCTGTCATGAATCCAATAAAAGAAGGTCAATACTTGGTTACAGAACTCTGTATATCAGCAGCTCTGCATATCTATTCACCACAGGCTGTTTCACGCAGGCAAAAAAACAAACTGCATTGCGATGCTGCAAAAGGCATGAACAAGTTGACATTAATATCCTTAGTTCAGTTCCACATTTCAGGAGACATGCTTATTGAAAGGCAATGAGCACTTAGAGCCTAGTAGATGATGTTTTGAATCAGCTGCTTAGTTTTATAGACATAGCCTAGTAGATGATGTTTTGAATCAGCCGCTTAGTTTTATAGACACCAGAGGCCACACATTTATGAATTATTATAAGATTGGTGTTTAATTTGAAATCTTGGATGTCCTAGATGTTTTTCTGCAGGTTCCTTTTGTTAAATTGTGGGTTAATATCAAGTGAATTTGTGTTCGATCAAAATAGACAGTCTAACCGATCTCTTAAATTAAGTAAAAACATAAAAACACATTAAAAAACTAAATGCTAATCGTTTAAACACTTCCTGATGTTTCTGTCTGAAATTAACCTTTTTTAAGGCTCTCTGGTAGATTGGGTTTTCCTCTTTTAATGTTTAAGCTAAATGCTAGACAGGCTATGCTAAGCTAAGTCAAGGGGCTCCTGGCTGTAACACTTTGTTTACAATAAAAGGGTAAAACAATCAATTTTCACTCACCAAAAAAGTGAATAAGTAATATTTTATTATCTTAACACTTCCTGAAGTTTATAAATCCACTCCTATGACTTTTCTTTTTTTTACAATCTGCTCTGGTGAACTAGGTTTTCTATTTTCATCTTTAAGCTATGCTAAAATAAGCTAAGCTACACCAAGCTAACGTGCTTCTGGCTGTTACTCTGTTTACAACCAAACGGTAAAATAAAAAACAGTCCCTTTAATTATTGATCACTCTGTAGCAGCTTAGACTTTATTTATTCATCCATTTAATCTCTAGTCATTTATTTAAATATTTAGTTGGTTAGTTAATTAGTTCAGGTAGTTATTTGGTCAGTGTTAAATTGTGGTCACTATTTCTCTCTCATCTGATGTTCAAGCCTTTTGCAGCAACATGTAAGAATAAAAAGGCCATAGACTTAAAAACAAACAAACAAACAAACAAAAAAACACCATAATGAAGTAGTAACTTAGTTCAAACTCAACTCCAGCAGCTACATTTCTAACGAGCAAAGAAGTTTACATTTTCTGCTTTTTAAAGTAAGACGATTTTTGAGATTGAGAACTGTTTTTCGTCCGACGCTTCCTCCCTCCTCCCTGGTGTCTGTGATGTTTTGATGTTTTGTCTCGTGGCACTGAGCTCTCACCATAAGGGCTTCGCCTGCCGTTGTTGTCAGATCCTGTCAAAAAGAGTTTGAACTAGAGAAACCTCTCAGATCCTCTCTTTGTATTTTTGCCGCTCTTTCTGTCTTTCTGTCCTTCCGCCAGTCTTGTCCCCTTGTCCTCAGTTTAACCCCTTCCTGCCTGGCTGCTGCTCCCTATTGAACTCAAAGGCCTTTCTCAAATGTGGTGCCTACCTCTCTCTGCTCGCTCTCTCTCTCTCTTTCTTAGCCTTTATCTATGTCTCTCTGCCTGACTGTCTTATTTCTTCCTCTCTATCTTTTCGTCTGTCTGTCCCTCCCAATCTTGCTGGAAGCTTTGCTGCTCTGCACTGCATTTTGTGGTGTCTCAGATCTTGATACTGCAGTTTGTGTTAGTGTGTGTGTGTGTGTGCCTGCCCAGTGTGTGTGTGTTACGTTCTTTTCTACACTGAGGTGTTAAAAATCTGAATCACACAATAAAATGAATCTCAAAGCCATGCACAAAGGGTCAGTTCACCCAAATCAAAAATAAGACCTCCCCCCGCCCCACATACTGTACACACACTACCTAGTCGCTGTATACTGTAGCTGAGTACAGTTTGAACTGGAGGTTCAAAATCTGCAACATTTACCATTAAAAAAATATTCAAATTATAAACAAACTGCAATGCATTTAAGCATTCAGGTTGAAGAAGAACCCAGTGTAATATCTTGGGGGATGGGGTGGAGGGATGGGGGGGTTTCTGAGTTACCTCTGTGCTATATTTTTCGAGTGTGTGATTTGAGTGAACTAACCCTTTAAAATCTCTCTGGTCAATAGTACTCTTGCTGCAATGATGTAAAAAAGCATACACTTATTTCCATTTATCAGTTGATACAAAATGCTGACTTCTAACTTTATCATAGGAGAAAAAAAACCCACAAGTTTTGTTCAAACAGGTCAACAATTATAATAATCACTGATGACGATCACCACAATTGTTGTTCTCTTGCTAAAACATTGCGCAATTTTGTTTCAAGTTGCATTTTTTTTAAATGACTGAACTGCAACTCCCTGAAGATGAGTGTCCTGATGAGTACATCTGAAGCTTTATCTGTCTGCTCGTCTGCACTGTGCCCTGTTCCAAACACCACCAGCTGTGCTTTACAGACTTACTGTTTCCACAAAAAAGAAAAAAAAACAAACAAACAAACAAAAAAAAACAACCCTGCATGGTCGTTACTGAACCTCCTCTGTACCGTGTGTTTTTGCTCATTCTGTTTTGGTGTCGTCTCTGTTCCTCTGAATGAGGAAAACCGGTGTTTGATTCCAAGGTGAATGTTTCATTCGTGTGTGTCGTCAGATTTGTTGTGGACAGGTGTTTGTTATACCGAGGTGACTTCCAGGTCGTTGTAAAAGGGCATGCCGACGTCTGGTGAGACGTGTGTTCTGCAGCTGGAATGTTCAAATCTGCTTCTCTGGACGTTTCCATTTTCTTTTCACTTGTTGGCTGAAGTGGAAATTCTATTGGTTTGACCCAGATTTGAAACACTCTGCTCTCATGAATAATAAATGGAGGTGTGTGTTAAAAAATTATAATCAATTGCAATCGACATGATTTATTTTAATAAGAAAAGGTGGCAGTGAGTGCAATGCGAAGGTGGATCTACATGTTGAATAAAGAGTTTCATTTGATCAACTGTTTAAACGTTATTCAGTGTGTTCAGTGACCAAATGTAGCAGCCCCAACTTTGACCAGAAGATGGCACTGTGCATTTGTAAAAATGATACTGCACAAACTCATTTGACAGGTTTTTGTTTCATACAGCACTTTTATTTTGAGTACTAGTTTTCTGAAGTATATATATGTGTGTATGTGGTTAATTGAATGAATATATTGATTGTTCCATATTTCACATAATCTTAATCAAGTACTACTCTGTGATTACTCAGTGTTGAGTATTTGTCACTGACACATCGTGTCACATGACGGGCAGGAAATACCAACTCAGTGACAAATAAGTGAAAATTCTGAAACCTGAAAATCTGAAATAAGATTCCTTTGAATATATTGTCAATTCATATTGTCAGTTTTTTGAAAACCAACTAAAAGTTTATTAATTAATATGTACAAAATATTTTTATATTACAAAGGAAATACAGTACAAGGGCAAAAGTTGACATACAGACGACAGGAAGAGAACACAATAGGTTTGTTATGTGACATAGGCCTTGTTGAAATGCTTTGGTCCTGCAAAGCCCTCAAAAGTCCGAGAAAGATTATGGTTGAGAGTATATTCCAGTTCTATTGTTTTGATCTATGTACAGTCAATTTATAGCTATTTATTTTTATGATGGGGAACGTCACATCAACTGGATTAGAAGGCTTTTATTTCAGCCCAGACCGTGTTTGCATTTACATAAGCTCCAAAACAATTTAATAAAAACACAAACAAACAAACAAAACCCAAAGCCTTCAAACCAACTGGCTGTTAGACTGATATGCTAAGGGTTTTGCCTTTGAATGCTCTGAAATATCGTGTGGAGCCTGTAGATTTGGACATAAGGACAAAGAGAAAAGGGTCCAGACAGGCATGGAGGCAGCACAGACACACCGCCAAATTAAAGTACAAATACAAGTTCTCTGTTCTGTCTACAAACAGTTGCACGTAATGCAGGAAGTGCAGAACTCCAGCGGGGGTGAAGCACACCAGAAAGATGACAAACACCAGCGAGCTGCTCATGATGTATAACCGCCAGTCGTGGTGCGACTGGTTGAGCTCACGGATGATTTTGATGAAGCAGAAGACGCTGGTCACCAGAGGAGCCAGGAGGCCAAAGATGGTCAGGACCAGGTTGTAGTAAAGCAGGAACACGTGGGAGTTTTGTCCCAGAGGGAGGACGTCGTGGCAGGTGATGCGATGCAGCTCAGGAAGCCAGTAGCTCTGCTGGACCAGGAGTTCTGGGACGACAGCGGCTCCAAACACAGTCCAAACAGCCACGGCAACCCAGAAGGTACATAACCTCTTTGGTAGGGTTTTGTACTTGAAAGGGTGCACTACAGCCAGGTAGCGCTTAATGCTAATGCAGGCCAGCGTCTGGGCAGAGCAGTAGAGGTTGCCATAGAAACAGGCCGTGACCACCCGACAGGCAGTGTCCCCCAGAGTCCAGTGGTTTCCATAGAGATGATAGTGGGCTTTGAAGAGGAGGGAGAGGAGCAGGAAGAGGTCGGAGACGGCCAGGCTGCAGTAGAGGATGGCAGAAGACACTTTCCTGATTTTAGAGCCCACTGTGTACAAGATGGCAACATTGGCTGGAACCCCAATAGCAACCAATAACATGTAAACAATGGGAATGAGCCTTGTGGTTAAAGGGCTGCTGAGGTAACGCACTGTGTTGTTGCTGAGAGACGTCAGTGCTGGAACAGAATGAGGTAACATTGGAGCCAGAGTCCCATTTTGGACAATTTTGTAAGGCTTCCCAATGAATGACCTGGGCAAAGGAACATCAGAGTCTGAGGCTTTGGGTCTTGATTTTCCTGCAAGAATAAAACAAACAAAAAAAAAAGTCACGAATAAATCTTGTGGTTTCAATATCAGTTATAATCACCAACTCTTTCCTAAAAATTATTTAATAGACAAAACAATGTTTTAGTTGTCATGAAAGTCAAGGTTGATGATTTTAAAAATATACTCAAATGGAAATAAACTACCCTCAAATTTTAAATACTTTTTTTAAGCAATATGTAAAAAGAAAAGGTGAATTTCTCCATGATAGCATTTCCTATCCATTCTTTTTGAGGCAATTTGAATAAAAAGTGTGTAGTTTTGTTGACCAATGCCATAATATTTCAATTAAAAGAAAAAGTGTAGAAAGCTGGACCACATTGTTAAGTTAAATTGGTGTTTAAGTGAATGTATAAATTAATTATATAAATATAAAATACATAAATATACAGTATAACACACAGTATATATATTTATGCATACACATACTATGTATATGTATACATAAAGTATACATTTAAGTGATGAAAAACATTACAGAGTTTTAAAAATTTACACTGAATTTAATATTCAAAAAAGTAATGAACATAGAAAAATTTAAAAAAATATAGAAACTGTATTGAATAAGTAATAAGTATATTACTAAGTATATATATACTCAGTATTAAGTAATTGACCCATGTGAAAAAATGTTGGAGGAGTGACTATCTGTCACTACTTTTCAATCTTTCTCATGTTCTCCATTATGTCTGAATTTAAATTTTACAAATATTACAACATTTATGTATTACATTATACATAAAGTTTACATAATTGATCATGTCATCATTGGGCTTCACTTGATCAGATTCATCTCATGTTAATCTGATTAAACTCACTGAGCTCTGAAACTGATTTAAAAAGTGAGTCGCTGAGGTTATTGAAAAACCTGACAAGTACTAACTTGCATGCGATTTCTGGCCCCTCCACAGTAACACACTCAACTCAAAGCACGTCACTCCAGACATGTATTCTATAAGAACCATTTTAAATATATATATGTTTTTGTCCCACATACCTTTGTCGTTTTGAAGGGAGCCACTAATGCACAGAACAAAGAAGAGAAAAAGTACGAGTTTCCCCATGATTTCCACTTTGTTTCCACTGACTGAAGACCTGAAGATTCAGTATGTCACACCCCGGTTCTGTTCTGCTCTCCGATCTTGTTGTTTCATCTGCTCCTCATTACACAGTGCTGTGTCTGTTTGTCGCCCCCTATGTGGGCGTATACATGTTAAAAAAAAACACCTCCCCCTATTGACGAGGACTGAGGGGTGAACAGAAAACATCTTCAGCTGTGCTTGGGTTCCAGGCAGTCTCAGTTTGAACGTGTGAGCCTGAGATGTGACGCCCACACAGTGGCAGACTATGTTCCCTTATCGTGTTTTATGGGGTTCAAAGTCTATGGAAATAAGACACACCAATTTTTTATGTCCATCCGCCACCAGCCACCCTCTTTATGTGACAACAAATAGTGTGGAAAAAAAAGTGTAAAATCCTCCACACCATACATTTGACATTTGCTCTAATTTGTCCCGTAACCTAATGAACCCTGGAGGAAACTGTGGGATGAGGTAATAATCAGAAACAGCTCGCTGGGTAAGAGAGGAAATGTGTTTGAGAGCATGATAAGCCTGTCCAGACAAGAGCAGCTCAGTTTCATCTTCATTCCACAGAAACTCAAAGAGACTGTCGAGAGTTTAGTTATTTTTTTATTTTTATATTTTCAAACACAAGTAATGGTCTTAGGGGTCGTTTTTTTTTTTTTTTTCCATTTTAGGACAGAACACGTTGAAACTAGCTAGGTTTTACCATGATTAAGATTTTATGTATTACGCTTTTTTTTGTTTAAATTTACCATAGTGGTCAAACCACTTCACCCCTCAGTTTGTTTGACCCTTATTTGAAAATTGATGACAAATTAGACAAATGAGATCACAACCGACCACAGGGTGAGGACGAAAACAAGAGTCGATAAACACAGGAAGTAGTAAAAATGTCTTGGATAAATTAAAATGTTTGAGTGTTAGATAAAAAAAAAGTCTGGGGGGAGAACAAATGTGTAAATAATTATATGTAATAATAACCAGAAATCAGAAAGAGACACGAGAGAAGAAGAGGAAACACACGATAAAGGGTGTTAAAGTGACCAAAGACAAAATGACATCTGATGTAGGAAGGAAACTGTTACCTCTAAGCGGGGGGCACAGGAAGTAACATGATGTGGGTAAAACATGTGTGGGTGTAATGACGGGATATACAGGGGGTTCAGAAAGAGGGTTGTACAAAATAATAGCAATATGTCTACGAAGAAAAAAACAGTAAAAATTAAAAGACATTGCGTAACACATACGTACAGGGCATTGTAAGAAACAACGGGTAAACGAGATTAGTAATACGTTTTTTGCCATATTTCACACCCTACGATGTCTCCTAAAGGGTTCGTAAAAGGTTCATATACTCGTAAATAACATAATAACTATCGCGTCTCTACTTCGTGGTTTTTGGCCTATTGCGGACGGTTTTGGAACGTAACCCCCGGGATAGACGGTGGACCTCTGAATATGGGATGAATTTGATTAATGTATTTTGCACTACCTGCCACCCCCTCACCACCACCACCACCAATGTATGACTCTAATTCTGTCTCCCTCTGTGACCAGTTTCTCAGTTTAATGAGTCTCCATAATATTTTCATTTCGTTTTAGATCTGTAGCTCCCAGCTGTTCACAGATGTGACCTCGTTCTTGTTTTCTTTTAAACTTGTTTTTTCCCATGGCTGCGAAACACGTTCCGCTGGGGCATCTGTTTGATCTCAGACCCCCCCCCCGCCCCCAGATCCTGCCCAGTGACGTCACCACTGATGCGTCACCTTGAAGGTAGAAAAGAAATGTTGACTTTAACGTCATCAAACATACAAACAAGTTGTTTACAGCAGAAAGAAAAGTCAGAGAGCTGGGGTTTAGTGTCGGATACAAACATATAGTCAGAGACGACAGTGTGTCCAACACCAACACAGGTCTGTGTCGATGATACTGAATCATTTCTTGTCACGTTGTTCCACGAAGCTGCACAAGAAGGAAGCAACATTTTTGAAGTGTGAACAAAAGTGTGTGACAATCGGTCGCAGGGCGTTAAGGTCCTCTTCCTCTCTGCTGTACTTTTAGCGACAGGGGTGCATCTGACTCAAACAGCTGTTTCCTTTTTGACAGTCATCTAACGTCAAGGTGGTGGCTTTCAGTTTTTACTGTGTAGACTAATATTAGATTTCAAGTAAATGAAAGTGTTTCTTCATCGCAAAAACCTGCAGTGAAATCTGAATAAAGTCAGAGGACTGTAATAATAATAATGACGATGATGATGATGATGATGATGATGGATTGGCCTTAAAGTCTATTTGTAAACATAAAGCTTGTACATAAAGTGTTTTACAAAGAGACTCAGCCGTTCTACCCAAGAGTAAAAGTCGTGTTTGTTTGTTTGTTTGTTTTTAACTCTGACTATGTAGAAAATGAAGCAGTCATTTATTTGTCCAACAATGGGGAAATTCACAAATGACGTTGTTAATGTTATCGTTGTGTCTCATCGTTCTGTTCTAAATGATCAATGAAAAAGAAGTGTGACCCCTACAGATAGAAACTGGAAAAACAGCTGCAGTGCAACATCATAGAATTCTTGATATACATGACTGCCTCTGCAAAATGTGACTTTTTGTAAGTATTTTGATAAATTGTATTTTTTTTAAATTCACTTGTATTTAAAAATCTTGTATTATTTAAACTTACCAAAGCAACATTGTTGTGAAATACTAAGGCACAAAAAATCCATTATATAATACGTAATTTATATAGTATAAATATAATATTATATTATATAATAAGCATATTTTAAATATTCTTACAAAATGTTCTAACATACTGTATGTAGTAATATTTTACTAAAAGAAAAATGTCTGGCGTTTGTGTCAAAAAAAAGTTTCAAAAATGTCACTCCAGAGACAAGGAAAGTTGAGAAAAGTCCTAAATAAGCATTGTCTGAAAAAAAAAAAAAAAAAGTGTACATGAGTATACACTTTTTTTTTTGGGGTGGGGGGGCTACATCTCAGTGAAGTCGGGGTAGACTGATGTGTCTCACATTCACTAGTAGGTTCTTTGACCTCCAGTAGCATTTCTTCCCATTTTTTTTAGTCAGCGTTCTAAAATTTCTCCTTAATTCCCAGTTTTATGGAACGCACGATTTGCCACCGGGTCAATCAATCCCTCTAACCCCGCCCATTTGTCCACCTTTCATCACCTTCTCTGTCCCTGTCTGTCTCAGAGAATATTCCAGGGTCTCCAACTGGGCTTCGGACTTGTACGTTTGCATAATGTTCTATCATTATCATGTACGTTTGCATAATGTTCTATCATTACCGCTACGCTTTGCCAACTATATTTTATGTTTATTGCTTGAATTTATTTAACTTACTAAGTCCCAGTCAAGTCTGTTTTACACTTTAATACCTGTAAAAACCCAGGTTTATGTTTGGACAATTATTTATTTGAATTATTGGAACTGTTTCATCAAACTCATACGTTACATAGTTAGTGTGAGTATGATACCTTTAACTGGCTAATCCAAACCAATTGCGCTGTGGCTTTGTTGAGCTGTTGAAGCCACTCACTGAGAACAAAGGCTAATGTCCTTTAGGGAATGGTCTTTCTTTAGCTCTTTGTTCTTGTCGTATTTGTTGTTAAACCCAAACCTGAGTTAGTTAGAGAGCAACAAAATGTTCTAAAAACAAAAAGTGTTTGGACTCGTGCCAGCAACTGCATTCTGGTCCTTATCTCCCACAGTCTACATCCTGCCTTGATGTGTGTGTGGAGGAATGAACTGCTGTTTGTTTCAGAAACGCCCCAGAAAGGCACAGTACAAGACCTTGACCGTTTACAGCTGCAATGTGTGTGAAGTTGTGTCAGGGGAGAACTCTGGTTCTGTCGTTGGTAAACTTTGAACACGGTCACATCTAAATTTCCAAAAAGTTGTATTCTTACAAAATACATTTCTTTCCATAGTACCCCTTCCCTGTGGATTTCTGGGTTATTATTTATTATTTACAAATATGGACAGAAGAAAGACATCCCTGTTTGGACCAACACCAGCCAGTTGTACGTATAACAGAAAGAAAAATTGGCCTTTTACAGTACTTTTACAGAGGAGGTGTGACATTTATGGTCGATTCAACAATTTATTAATATTAATATTTTGCACATTTAGACACATCTGTATAGAATCTCCCCAAAGCAAACAACCCTGTTATTTTGTCTTTCATTGTCAATATACAATAGAAATTTTCTTTGTTATATTTGAGACTGATAAAACATGGTCCATGATAAATATAATAATATAATCACGATTAATCATGATTAACCCACAGCTAGCCTGTGATCAGACAAACACAGGGATGAGAACGTCAAGAACAGGAAATCAGGACCAGGACTGAAATGAACTGTTGAGAGGTAATGTAGGTTGTATTAACCACGGCCTGATGACCTGTAGCTGCTCAGCTGGGAGAAATAAATAAAGCTGAGGGTCAGAGACTTGGCTGGTGGGTGACAGAGAGCAACAGACAAACAAGGAGAGAGAAGGTTAGTTTGGATGAACAGCAGTGCACTGCAGTACACATACCAAGATGCCAGATAACTGATAGAGGAAATGCATTTCCTGGTGTCTGTCTGTAATTCACATTTCAGACCCAAGGGATCTGTAGTTGCGGAGTGAGTGAGTCACACAACTCCCACCTCATTCTGCCTTCTGTCCATTATCTGCTTTAGTCAAACTGATGATCATCCCCATGTTCCTTGTTCCATGCAGATTTTTGATAAAGTACGTCCCTGACGTACTTGACTTTAATCGCTGACAGGCAGAAATATCTGGCTTTAACGTAAATCAACATCTAATGTCCCCAAAGTAAACAACATTAAACACTGACCAGTGTGTTTACAGAAAACAAAGTAAACAGACATCGACCATGTGTTCTATTATGAGACTTTCAGGACCTAAGTCTGTCTCACAGATTTAACTGTTCCCAACTGAGGAAACATCAAGCCTCTCGGGATGAGGCTCCATGTGAACCTTACCAGGATGGTGGTAAACATGTGGATTTTTCCAAATATCAATTTAGATGTGTACTTTCCCATTTTATTTAGAACGTCACACCTCCAATATGATGATTGAAATAAACAAATTTCCTTACTGTAATAATGAAAATGAAAATAATATCATAAGGAGAGTGTACACCATTGTAATTAACAGAAGTACATTAAAATCATCTGAATTCTACACAGCTGACCTTTACACTGATACAGTATCTATCTGTCTATCTATCTATCTATCTATCTATCTATCTATATATGTGTGTGTGTTAGTCATTTTAGTCATTTACTTGTTATACACACTGTAGGTGGGTTGTATATATATATATATACAGTATACTGTATATATATAAAGGCTCCGTTCTGATGTCCGTCAACACCGTGTTGGGTTAGGTGATAAAATGAAATGTCGGGAAAAAACAAACAGGTTACAGGTTATAATTGCATTACTGCTTCACATAATAAATAACAACCATTATTTTATTGTTCATCACCATTTTTATTAGTTATTATTGTGAAAGTCAGTTTACTGGCTCTGAATACAGTTAGAAACGACTAACGTGTGGGTGTCTCAACCAACTGAGGCAGACGTGGGCCACAATTGTCCTAAAATTGAACAGCGGGGCCGGGTCAGGAGCAGATAGATGGAGTGTTCGTGTAAACTAAGATAAATGACATGTAAAAGTCAGGCATAAAGCCTAAAATGATTTCATCATTTTCTACACCATCTATTGGGGAAACGTGGGTATTTTAGGAAAAAGACGTATAATGATAATATAAATAAATTATATAATTTGGAAAAGTTTGGCGGGCTGGATTAAAAAGCTGAACGGGCCGTATCCGGCCCCCGGGCCTTAGTTTGCCCATGCCTGAACTAAAGCCGATTTTACAGCAGAGTTATTACATCTAAATGTGTTTGTAAACACTGGTTACATTTTCTGTCACCATAAACCATTAAGTCTGAAGTATTAATGAAATGCCATACACAGAACACCTGTTGCTCTGAAGAAGCCTGTGAGAATGTTATCAGGTTGTGAGGTTTATTACATGTTTGGTTTTTTTTAGAAACAAAAACCAAATCATTTTTACAGAGTTAAATATTGTGGTTAATATAGCTAATATCGCATAAACTACCATCATTCTAAAAACGAGAGTTACATTTACAGGGGATATACTGTGAAAGAGCAATTTCTTACCATTTATGCAATTCATAATAAAGTCAGAAATCTTAAAAAAAAAAAAAAAAAAAAAACCGACACTGATTTTTTTTTACATCTCTTTATAACTACAATGTGACCCATGTGCTTGTCCGACTCCTGCAGAGTGACGGGAAACGTTACCTCAGAGGACTGGAATGTCTGCTGTCCACTGCTGCTGCTGATTGGCCACGCACCGTTTTTAAGAAGGGGACGCTGACCAAACGGGCTTTGGGCGGAGAGAGGACCTTAACCGGCCGTGAACAGGATATAGCAGCAGAACACTTCAGCGACAGGAGGCGTGAGCAGGACTTCTGCGAGGAATAAATCCACTGAATAACTTTCACGATCCGGTTATTTCTTTCGTTTCCAATTCATTTCAGCACAATGTTTTCGGTGTGCTCCAAGACTTTGCTGATGGTTGCCGTGTGCGCATGTGCGGCTGCAGCTGCGGGACCAAACAGTAAGTAAATTAAAAATATAATATAAATAAATATATTAATCATATTACACGAAAATATATGATCCTGTTTTTTTATAAACATTTTCCTGCAGTGAGTTCACATCAAAAACCTTTGTTTATATGACTATAGCGACAATAACGAATAATTATGAATCAACTGTGAATAACTGTGGTGCCGCACAGCTGCCCAGGACAGAACAATCCGACTGTGAGCATCCAGTTGATGAACTACAACAACAGTCAAGAAGTTCCAAGACAAATCGAAACGTTCTTAATTTATGTACATGGCTGCCATTTAAGCCATGGAGTTGTAGAAGAATTTCCCTTTTTGAGTTGTCTTCGATATTAGTTCATGTTGGCTCAGGTTTCTGTATTTGTCAATAAATAAAAGCAGAAAAAATATCAATAGTTTACTTAATAAATAGCAGACTATTTAGAAAGTTATAGGTTTTCAGTATAAATCATCATAACCACACTTTTAGACCTTGAACAATGTTTGGTTTTTTAGTAGGCGTGTTACTATGCAATTTATGTAATGAAGAGTCGTCTTTAGATCTGGACTAAAGTCAAAATATCTGCACTACTCTCATTACTTTTCACTTTGGTCGACAGAACCAGATCAAACAGAGTTATTTGTTTCGGGTTATTTTGGGGTTGTTGCTGTCTTTGTGGGCGGAATACAAGAGGAAGTCAAAAAGTTCAAAAGACAAACCTTAGAAAGAAAAATCTCAATTTATCTAATTAAGAAAACATTTCTCCACATATTCTTTGTTTATGTCTAAACATTATCACAAGCCGTTTTTTTTTCATCAAGAATTCTTTCTTCATAGAATTCTCTAGGAAGTTGTTGCATTCGGTCACATCCTGCTTTTGTGCCTCATCTAAGAACTAGAACCAAGATCCTTTCAAATGTTCTTTTAGTTTTGAGAAAAAAACAAAAAAAAAGTTGTTTTAATTATGCCTACCTACAAAAAACACAAAAAAAGGATGTTTACCTACATTATAAAACTGTTTATTTCCAAGTAACAATTTTTTTGACTTACCCTGACTAATATAAAGGACAACAACTGAAAAGATGACAGATACATGGAAGTAGAAAGACATGACCTCACTTGAATTGTAATTTTTTCTATTCCAAACTACATTATGCAAAGCAACTTTTCAATTTCAATTTCTAATGAAATTAGCAAATCCATTTTCAGTGAAGGAAATTGGCTTTTTTCTTATAAGACTAAAATCTGTCTATATATATTTATATAAATGATGTCCGTTTTCTGGATTTGCTGACATCTTTGTTTCTTTTTCTTTCAAAGGAACAGCACAAGGACGAACCTTTGGTTTAAGGGACAGGTCCTTTGTCCCGACTGATGAACCAATACCGGATAATCATCTTGATCTTGATGATAACTTGAACAGATCTCATCGGTTTCCCCCAAGAAACATAACCAGAACCAAAGTGCAGGAAGTCTCAGAAGAAGCACTGCAGTTTCTCACAGGCCCTTTGTCCACCATCCTCATACCATCCTTCTATACGCTGGTCTGCCTTATAAGTGTGCCCATCAACATCTGTGCAGTGGTGGCCTTTGCAGTCAAAATCCAGCCCAAGAAACCAGCAGCAATTTATATGATGAACCTGGCCTGTGCCGACCTTCTCTTCGGTGTGCTGCTCCCCTTCAAGATCGCCTATCATTTCAGCAGCAACAACTGGGTCTTTGGTGAATTAATGTGCCGCGTGGTCACAGCAGCCTTCTACTGGAACATGTATTGCTCTGTTCTAATCATAGCCTGCATCAGTGTGGACCGTCTCCTGGCTGTGGTTTACCCTATCGACTCCCTGTCTTGGAGAAGGCCACGCAACGCTATCATTGCTTGCGTAGCCATGTGGGTCTTGTCGTTTGTTGGCTCTGTGCCTCTTGTCCTCTCCAATCAGACTGTTTACCTCAGCCAGCTGAACGTTACGACATGCCATGACGTCCAACAAACCCATAAACTCATCGGGCACTACAGGATCTACTTTGTCATCTTTTTCTGCACCTTTTTCCTACTTCCTTTTCTCACCACCGCGGTGTCGTACACTCGTGTCATCTGGTCTCTGAACAGGGTCCCACAAGGTGCTCTGGGACGTTCACGCAGACGAACCAGAGCACTGGTGATGGCCACAACTGTGCTGGTGATATTTGTTCTATGTTTCCTACCCACAAACATCCTGCTCATCACACACTATCTGCAGTTCAGTGAGGGTGTGGAGAAGATCCAGGACTTGCCCGATGGCTCCTACGCTGCTTATCTAGTCTTTCTGTGCTTAGGAAGTCTAAACTGCCTCCTGGATCCTCTGGTCTACTACTTTGGATCCTCCCAGTGTCAGAGACAACTCTCCAGCACTGTGAGGTGTCAGAAGAATTCAGGGAACCATAGTTCCTCATCCAGTTCCCAGCATTCTAGCAGCAGAGCAATTCTGAAATCCAGACAGCCAAACAACACTCAAATAACCAGCTTGGACTCATTCCAAGACAGCCAGTACAAGAAACTGCTGGTCTAAGAGCTCAGCAGTGAGCAGTTGGTCTTCAAGATCATGTGACCGCCACAAACCACAGTTCAATTAGAGTTCACATTAAATAAGTGATTCCATGTTAAAAATAACTGTGTCTACAGTTTGCATGTCATACCAAGACAGTGTCTCAACTGCTGAGGGCTTTTCGTTGTGAATGTGGTGAGATAGGAATGCGGTTCAGGCACAAACCACACCTGGTTATGATTATTGCTATCATATGTTAAAAAATGTGTTTTTTTCCAAGGAGGAATTAAAACATTTGGTGCTGTTTCTAGAAAGTGCATAAACTAGTTAATTTTTAGTAACTATGAACAGCCCTTGTTTATTTACATTAGTTTTGTTTCCAACTTGTTGGATCATCAGATCAGTGAACAATGACAAATAAACACCCTTTGTGTTCTAGTGATAACAAAAGGTCACATAAGTACTGAAAGGTCGGGATGTGTTCATCTGAAGTATAAAATCTCTTTAGACGTTAGTGAACATATAGAGTGCCCTAATGGAGTCTTGACATAATGCACTCTCCCCAAAACTCCCTGTTGAAACTTTGGGGATTTTTTTTCCTGCAAAGAGTGTGTCAGAACTCGCTGTAAAATAACTGACTCTGAAATGTCAAGTTTTTTTTTCTTTTATTATGAGAAGGAACTTTAAATTTAAATAATATGTATAACGGCTGAGCTGATACTATGAAATGCTTTTATTTTGCACTCTTTCTAAGCTAATAAGTATTACATACATTGAAGGCAATAACATTATATTTTATATATTGAACTATCTAAGATACATTTTTTTTAATCAAGCACTTAGTTTCTATACGTTATTTTTATGTACATGGGTCTGTTATTGTGCTTTAGATTAGTGCTCGGGGTGAAGTCGCTCCCATTATTGCGTAGTCAGCTCAATGCTACCATCTGCTGGTGTAAAATGTGGACTGTTGAATATGTATAAATAAACTTTTTTTTTACACCAATGAGACTTTTTTCTTCTTGCAGATTGCTCAAAGGAGGAAGATTAATGAATGAATAATTTTACCAAAATTAAATTGAGTTGAGTGCTTTAAATATTTAAAACCGAGTAGAAACGATTCTACAGTTTAAACATGTCTTTTGTAAGATTCTATATCTGCCACCGAGATACGTAATCAGGCTTTACGATGTGTAAGTGTCCGGCGGCAAATGTAGGGAGGTGGAAAATATCTTGCCGCTTCAGCTGCCACCCAATATGTAGGGTAGTTAAAATATTTAGTACTTTAAAGCCCTTCATTAATGACAGTGACAGAAATTCAATCTCCCATTCTATTGCTTGTAGAGGTTTGTAAATACTGTGGTAGCCATTGCTCTTATGTAGATTACGGATATTCACGTTTAAATATAATATATTGCGAACAAAATAAGTCGCGTACAACTGATATTCTTCTGTCATATCTCCTTCGCGCCAGTACATCTACTTTTACTCACTACGTCTAGTGACTTTTCCACAGGCAAACCATCCATGCAGAAACGTTTAGTGCAGGTTTTTAATACAAACATAAAGGTATGAGCGGAAGCACGAAAAAAGGAAGATGCACTTTCGGATCACCTGACTCGGTGACGTCACAGAGGTGACATAAAGCACCTATTTGGACGCCTGAGCGAAAGAGTTAAAGAGAAGCAAGACCGCACCCACGGTCTTGCTCACACACGAACAAATACAGCATTCGTTTATTTTTTCTCTTCACTTGGTGCAGTCATGGTTTCTGGAATACTTTGGCTGGTCCTGCTCGCATGCTGCGCGCCGACCTGTCTTTCAACAGAAGGTAATGTTACTTCTCTTTGACTACGCTATTGGTCAACTGAGACAATTCCACGAGTGTTGTTTTTGTTATTTATTTTTATTTTTATTTTTACCATAACAAACGAATACATGTCTAAAGGCGCCAAAAGAAATCACACTGGCTGACGTTTTCTTTCCTCCTAAATTCTTTATTTAGGTTGAAATAAAACAAAGCAACAATATCAAACCTTCTTTTTGTCATACTTACCTATACTGTATTATTTAATTAATTATTTAAATATTTAATAATATATATATTAGTGTATTCCTCCATTGTGTTAACACAAATAATGAAAATGGGGAATGTAATGTTTAATCTTTTTTAGATTACAGAGTGAAGTTTTATTTGCCCCCCCCCCCCCCCCCCTCGTATTCTCCATTTGTAGGAAATATGTTGTGTTGACATGGACTAACTTTTATGTGACACATTAGAGCAAACAGTAGTTATAGAAATACACATACAATACAAAGACATTTTTTCAGGATGGGCAGTAAAATTAGAACGTAAATGCTGAAACTGTGCTGTTTAATCTATGCCTTGTGTTTTTTTTATTTGTTTTTTGTTCATTATTTAACATTTGAATGTTTAGCTTCCTACCTGTTTTAGCTTCGTCATAACTAGCTGTCATTAGTCACTTAACAGTCATTGTATTTATTCATTTTTCATTCTAATTTATCCAAAAGTATTTTCAACCACAGTTCTCATCAGTAGTTCCTAAGGTTACATTTCATGTATTCTAATCTTTGGCCATCACTGTCCAAGAGGTCAGGCTACTGCCTGTCTGCTCAGGCATGACTGTTTTAACCTTTGGTAAACAATGACAGTCTGTGTTTGGCAACTGATTTTGTATGGGCATTTTTATGTCATGTAGCACCCACTGTCTTTCATATAAACCACTTTAAATTGCGTTATTCTTGTGCAACACCAAAGCATTTGTCATAGTTCAGGAAGAGCAGAAACAGTTTAATCTCTTGTAGAATCTGTGAGGAGATGATTGGGAAACAACAGTTATGGCATCTTTTAAGAGACACTTTATTTTTGAAATTGTGTAGTGTTGTGTTTTTTGTGTGTTAAAATCTGAGAACCTCATATCAAACCTCAGATGTTTAAACCTCTTTTTTTGACTGAACCACTAACTGGCACCAGTGTTTGTTCTAAAACAACTGGTGCTACCAAAATATCAACACTCATCAGTGACATTCAACTCAACTCTTGACATTCTTCTGTATCTGTGGTGGGCAGAATGTGATGCCTTGCCTACAATTCAGTTTGTTCTGAAGAAGGAGACTACAGGATTGTCAGGGAAATGTGGGCTGATGAGTTTAGGAAAAAGTAAACCTCATCCTACATAAACATTTACAAACTGAAGGACTTGTTGTCTTTCTTCAAGTCTTGACCTGGAACTCTGTCTGCAGCAAATACTGAAAAATACTGACCTTTAGTTAAAAGAACATGAGTCAGGAGACCTTAAAACGGCTACTTGGAATAATCATCCATTGACCTAAATTCCTATGACAACTACTGCTGTAGTTATGCAGACATACAATGTTTTCTCATGTGGCCGCACTGATAATCATGGATGGCTGGATTAATTTAATTACATCGTGTTGATGGTAATAATGACAAAAATTACTTTAAATAACATTAGTTACCAAAACATACAAACACATCTTTATATATTAGCTGTTTAACATTCCATTCAGGTCTATCTCCATCATCTAATATAAACTTGAATGCTAAATTTACACTTTGGATAAACTGTGTAAAAACAACTTGGAACCAGTACCATAGCAACAGATTTTGTTGCCTCACATCAAAGACACATTCTCAGTTCAGTACAGTTCACACTGCTACAGATCATGAAAGATTTCAGCTGTGTGCACAATGACAAACAAGAGTAATGTGCTCTTTTTTAGGTATTTGAACCTGTTAAGTTTGACTTTCAGAGGCTGTGTTTTTCTTCCTGCCCATAAACCTGCTGCTCCTCTATTTTAATGTTGTTTGTGCATTTCCAGATCTGAGAGGCTTCACTGGTACGGAGACTGAAAACAAAGCAGTGTGGGTCACCGCCCAGGCCGAACACGTCCTAAGCAGTCGCCTTACGACCCTCTTCCTACCAATTATCTACATCATTGTGTTTGCTGTTGGTCTGCCCACGAATGCCTTGGCTATTTGGGTTTTCCTCTTTCGCACCAAGGAGAAACATCCGTCCTCAATCTACATGGCCAACCTGGCTCTGGCCGACCTGCTCTTTGTCATCTGGGTCCCACTGAAAATATCCTACCACTTTAATGGCAACAACTGGATCTATGGGGATGGTATGTGCAAAGTGCTAGTGGCGTTTTTCTATGGTAACATGTACTGCTCAATCTGCTTCATCACCTGCATTAGTGTTCAGCGGTACTGGGCCATAGTTAGCCCCTTGTCACGAAAGCATAGGAGCAACCGTCTCGCTGTTGGCGTCTCTGTGGCAGTGTGGCTAACCATCTGGCTGATCACGGTTCCTCTCTACCTGTATGATCAAGCAGTATATGTAGAAAACCTCAGCATCTGGACCTGCCATGATGTCACCAGGCCCAGTCAAAGGAAAATAGCAGCGGGGTACTTCCTCACGATGGGATTGCTGGGCTTTATCGTTCCCACAGTGGTGTGCATCATATCTTATGTCTTCATGCTTAAGGCTCTCAGGAACAGCATGGCCGATTCTACCATTGCCAAGAAGAGACGGAAGGCTGTGGTGTTAATCATCACAGTGCTGGTCATGTTCTTGGTCTGCTTCACTCCTAGTAACATCATGCTGCTGGTACACTATAGCCTCCTCTTGCGTGAAGCTACAAACAACTTGTACGGCTTCTACATCACCACGCTGTGCCTCGCAAGTCTCAATAGCTGCCTGGACCCCTTTGTGTACTACTTTATTTCTGAGGATTTCAGAGAGCATGTGAAAAACACATTCCTCTGCAGAAGTGAGAGGACAGTAGAGAGGATGAGAGTCTCTTTCAGTGCTCTGAAGTTCTCAAAGAAGAGCAACACATACACATCTGAGTCTCGTAACACACAGAGCTCAGAGTGCTAGAGATGTTTATAATGACTTAAATAAATGCGTTTTTAATATTATTCAGCTGTGACGTCAATGTTACCTCTGGGATGCTTTGAATTGTTTTAGGTGCTTTTTCACCCATTTCATGAATGACATTTGTTTTTATTTTTATCTTGTAGTTATTTTTAGTGTTGTTGTTGTTTTTGAGTTTGATGTTTTTTGTTGTTTTATTTTTATCAGGTGCTGCTAATTTTTGAAATGACCCTTTATGTTCATTGTCAGTATAAAACTGTCAATGATGGTCATATTCTTTAAGCCAGATGTACATGTAAATATGTAACATCTGATGGCAATTGAGAACGAAGCAGCTGTAGTTAACAACTACTTACCAAATTCTCATGCGAATCAACTATACCACACAGGGCTATAAGGAGTCCAAGTACCACTAGTGGTACTGGTACCAAAGTTTGAAAACCACTTTTCCATACAGGTCACAGCTTACAGTAACTATCTGTTATGAGCTTCAACCTAAATTTGAGTGTATTCAGAATGGTCAAACCAGCTCTTCCTTATTTTCTAAACAGTGCCAGCATTTAGCATTCGTTGTGGGTTCATGTTTCTGCTCGTCCTTCAGTCAAATGTTGTCATTTATATTCAAGGCCTTTGGTTGAATTGAATTGTCTGTGTCACTGGTTACCGTGCACAATAAGTGAAATGTATACATTTTTTTTAATTAAAAAAAATCTAAACATTTGACATGCCTGTTTCTTTAAATTGTTTGTTTGTATTTTACTAGGCAAGTTACAATAATGCATGCCTTTTCCTATAGAAAAACATTTAGAATCACTTCCATATTATGATGAACTAAGCAAAGGTTAAAGATGTCCTATTTTTTTTCTTTTACCAACTTTTATCCACATTGTAATAAGCTTTGTTGTTTTAATCCATGGGCAGAATATCCATTAATTCAACTGCCCGACCACTTATCTTCACACTAAGACAATTGATACACATGACAATTGTCTTGGTTCAATTTGTTTTAAGTAAACTTTCATATTAATTTAACATGTTGGTATTCATTGTTAACACAGCAATTTATATCAATAAAATACATTATATTAAAAAAATATAATTGTTTTATACAAAAACACTAATGAAACAAACAGCAAAGTATTAAACACTTTTTTACTACTGTTTGTATATAAGTAAATCTTTGTATATGTGATGGCGTTGACGTGAAAACTGGTCCAAACCAGAACAGGTAAGCTGTGACGTAGTTGCAGGCAAAGGTAGTCTCGGGGCGTGTTCTTCCGCCCTCTACGCTGTCGGGGCAGAGACGAAGTTGTTCGACTTATAAGGCAGAGGTTCATGTGGAAGTACAGCACTGCTCAGGAACGGAATAAATATGGATTTTACTCGGTTGTCGTGGCTTCTTCTGCCGCTTTTCGTCTGCTGTTTTTCTGTTTCTTCAGGTAAAGTAGTCCTTCTCTGGCTTAGAAATTATTATCTCACCGACGGTCTTTTCTTTTATCTTATCTAAGCGAGTTCCTAGACCCTAACGATAGTAGCTTCAGTATTTTAACTCAACAGTTTTCTGTTTAACTTGGAAATCTTTGGTTTTTATTCAGTTTTGTTGGTGTTTCATTTATTCTGATTATCTACCAGTACTTACTAGTGTGGAGAATGGAGAGAAGAGAACGATTAACTTCTACAAAAGGCTAGCTTGGAACAGCTCGCTGATCAGCAATAGCAATTTTATATTTTACAAAACAGTATTTTATTTTACAAAACAGTATTTTGCCTGTTGCTGGTTCAGAACGTTTAATTATCATAATAATAACAATGTGCAACATTATACTTTATATGTTAACAGTAATATTACTATTTGTCCAGTAATGCCTTTGGCTTTACTGTAAGGTCTTCCCGTATATTCTTTTCTTTAAAATACCTTCTCATTCTCGTTTCCAGTTGTATACATTTATTCCTACAAAATTACATTCCAAACTTTATGTTTAACTGTGATATAGTGTTCTTTTTGAGGCAGTGGTGGCTTGGGTCTGGAGGGTTGCAGGTTCGAGTCCACCAGCTCCCAAGTTATCACTGAGGTGCTCTGAGCATGACATCGTCCCCACATACTGCTCCCCGGGCGCTTAAGCGCCCCCTTATTATTATTATTAATAATAATAATAAGGGGGCGCTTAAGCGCCCCCTTATTATTATTATTAATAATAATAATAAGGGGGCGCTTAAGCGCCCCCTTATTATTATTATTAATAATAATAATATGTGACCAGAACAAAGTGTAGTGCTTCACTCTTAAAACACAATTTTTTTTGTATTTCTGTTGAATATTACAGTAATGTAAAGTTATTACTTATTTTGTATAACAAAAAATATCCAAGATCTTGTACAATTCAATAAGAAAGGCACAAGATTTGGATTTGATTGCCCACTAAGCACAAACCTTTGATTAAAATACCATTTTCACTTGACTATTTCCAGGTATCCCTAAGGGAAGGGGATTCATTGGGATTATAGACCCAGAAAATTCTGACCAAGTTGTTGTGGACCATAAGACAGCCGCCACACTCAAGAGCAACGTTACCACTGTCTTTTTCCCAATCATTTACATTATCATCTTTGTGATCGGTCTTCCCGCCAATGGCATGGCCATCTGGGTGTTTCTCTTCAGGACTAAGAAGAAACACCCATCATCCATCTACATGGCCAACCTGGCTCTGGCTGACCTGCTTTTTGTCATCTGGATACCACTAAAAATTGACTATCATATTAAGGGCAATGATTGGGTTTACGGCGAGCCTCTGTGTAAGGTTCTTGTGAGCTTCTTCTATGGAAACATGTACTGCTCGGTTCTCTTCATTACCTGCCTCAGTGTGCAGCGGTACTGGGTGGTTGCTTATCCACTTTCCCACCGGAGCAAGAACAACAAATTGGCTATCTGCGTCTGTGTGGCCATTTGGGCTTTCATCTGGCTGACCTCTACCCCTCTTTACCTGTATAACCATACTGCCAAGCTCAAAGACCCTAACATTACCACCTGTCATGATGTCAACATCATACACGACCCAGAAAATCCCTTCCCCTCCATCCAGCTCCCGTACTACTATTTCATCTTCATGGGAATGGTTGTGTTCCTGGTGCCGTGCATTATCATCATTGTTGCCTATGTTCTATTGCTCAAGGCCCTTGGAAACAGCATGGAGGAAAGTTCAGCATCAAAGAACCGACACAGGGCTGTGGTGTTGATCGTGACTGTCCTGGTGACATTTCTGGTTTGTTTCGTCCCCAGTAACATCATGCTGATTGCACATTATTCACTGCTTAAGGATGGAGAGATAAATAATGGCTACGGCTTCTACATCTCCACGTTATGCATTGCTGGACTCAATAGCTGCCTGGACCCTTTCATTTACTATTTTGTCTCTGAGGACTTCAGAAACCACGTGAAGAACACTTTGTTGTGCCGGAGCAGCAGGACAGTGGAGAGGATGAGAGTGTCCTTCAGCTCCATGCAATACTCCCGAAAGAGCAAGGCATACGTATCTGAGAGTGGTAACACACAAAGCAGCTCATGCTAGCTCCCTGAAGGAGAGCCATCACCCGTCCGCCCTGTACTCTCATGGAAAGACAGCACACAGGCTGTGTGAGAGATTGAGACTCAGATAGACACATAGACCTGTGTCCAGCGCAACTACTTGAAGCATTGCCAAAGATGAACTTAAAATGCAGATGTTAGTGTAAATACAAGAGCTTTTTTGCACCCCGTTCGCCACCATTGAACTCCACTGAGAAATGTTTTACTGAAGAGTGTCGTTTTTCTGCTACTTGCTTTTTATTTTCCTAGATATCACTAACTTATCCAAGCATAGCTTTAACAGACCATGTGAGCTCATTTCCATTATTTACCCAAAGTGATTTTGCCATTGTTGCCACTACGTCAAAATAAGGTTCTTAAATAGAACAATTAAGTGCAAAACACACATGCGAGATATTGCACGCTTGTACTTGATTGAACTAGATTTTATTTGAGATTGACTCGTTCTAGCAGAGTGTATCTATGATTAGGCAGCAAAAGAATCTTAAAGTGTGCAGAAGATTAGTGTCTGAATTTACAGCAAAGTTACAACTGTTCTGTCACCATGACTTAAGTTTAATCAACAACAGCAAAATGTTTTTCATTATCCTGTGTTTTTTTCCGTCTTCTTCCTAACATAAGTTTTATGTACCTGTAATGATATATTTCTGCTTAAATATTTGATTATTAATGATGACGATGACGGGATTGTTACAGCTAGTTTCTTAAATAAACAGTAAAACCAAACAGTTTCTGCGAAACTTCTTGATGGAATTGTGCAACTGATTAACCCTGATCATAACCGTGTTAAATGAGTCACGTTTACTTCCAGCCTGCAGCTGAACACAAATGTAGGTGAGAGGATCAACCCTAATATCCTTTAAAGATTTAAGGAACTGTTGGAATGTGCTGCAATGACTCATCTGGAAATAACCATACTCACCTTGCTAATGTTGCCAGTGATCATGCTGTCAGGTTAAGAGAGCAGTCGGACAGGAACAAGTGCTAGAGTGAGAAGGGAAAGAATGTTTGAGGAACGTGATGAAACATGCAAAGTGGATGACGTTAACATTTGGTCCTACATGTGTCACCGATTCAACATTAGAGTGAAACCTAAATTTTCTAATTTTAATTCACATCTATAAATAGCTGTCCAAAGCAGTCTCACCAAGGGCAACCGGACTGGTAGGTTTTTTTCTACTGTTGCCTAGTTGTTGATTTTAGTAAAACGTATAGTTCATATTGATATCTGTTACTGAATGAAATTATAATTGAATGACTTTCAAAGAGATTGTTTTTTTTTATATGAAAGACAGCAGTGTGTCATCAGGTTTTGTGAACAAAGTCGAAGGGACGAGTGAACCAGTGTGTTTCCCCCAACAGCCTCACCTGCTCAGTCGCTACCTTCCCCCAGGTACTCACACACACACACGTTTTCAGTGACAAAACTGGTTGAGGCAGGTTGTTTATAGTGGTGAATGTTTGCTACGAGTGTCAGGTTACCTTTTGTCAGCACTCTTGGACCGGAGTACATTCTTTTGAGGTGTTGTTAGGTACAGGGCCACTCCCTGGGCACATTACATTTACATGTTGCTTTTCAGTTATTCCTGACACTGTGGGACTATGACAAACAAAGGTTAATAAACAACTTATTGAAACATTGTAAAAAAAATCTAGGTTGTAAATTAAATGGAGTAAAAAGACTGACAAGGTTTCTGTCACAGTCAGAAGTTAACTCGGTCTCAGGGCAAAATGCATTTGAAATATTTGAAGTTGCACTTGAAGTTTCAGTCTGCCATAGGTTAATAATCAGTTTTGCAAAGTCTAAGAACATTGAGAATTTCCCTCTGGGTTCATGGAACACGCACAAGACTAAAAGTCATTTCCTGCAGTCTGTTTTGAAGATAAATGTTTGCGTTATGATGATAAATGTTTGGTATGAGAGCCATGCAAAGCAGCTCTGGTATTATAACTACCCTTCAAACTGTTGTATACAAAGCAAACATTTTTTCAACACACCATTACCCAACATTCTAGTTGAGCCAAACAATTACTTCCTTTCAAACCAGAGCTATTTACTGAGGCATATGACTGACAATAACAAGCCTTATTAAACGTTTTACCATAGGTTACAGTTGATAAGTCATCATTGACATCAATTAAATATTTGATAAATATGTCAAGTCTCTGTAAATTTGATGGTCTTTTAGCAGGAACCCCCGGTGTCTGCAGATACTCTGTTGACATTATCAGGGTTTTGAATTGGGGTCACCTGCTGTTAAAAGAGGAAATGATGACCAGTTCGAGCAATAATTCCTTTAACCCCATCAACATTTACAATTCTGAACATGCCCAAAACAAATAAATATATATATTTTTTTTACGTTTTAGACCATGTACTATTAGATCTTGTTGTGCCATACGTCAACATGCATTTGATAAATATCCAAACATATAATGTATGTATTCAGTATGTTCAGTCTAAATTAGTTATAGAATATTAAATATATAGTTACTCATATGAACCTAATATATTTATACATTCATTATATGTATGACACATTGTGATTCAACACTCTTATTGTTGCTAATTTAGTCATAGAGATTTAATCTAAAAAAAATTTAAATTTTTGATTTTTATTTGAATTGCTCATGATCTACCTGCACTCTCTTCATGATCTACTGGCAGATCTCGATCTATTGGACACCTCTGTCTTAGAGAGATAAGATAAGGCCTTATACAGTGTATGTAAAACTATTGAGTACATAGTAAAGAACTTTGGAATATGTATAAAACTTAACACTATAGTATAAAACTATTCAGAATGTATTCAACTTTATAGTATGTATTGACTATTGTATCATTTGTTGCAGGTGTCCTATCAGAGGGGTCAGGCGTTTGTGACTGAGCTTGGTAAGACCATCATCTTTGTCATTATTCTACAGTAAACATCTGTTTTTATAAACATCCCTTATCTGCTTATATACTTTGTTTTGTTAATATTCTTCGTGGTTCTCTTTGAACTTTATAACGCTTCCAACTTTAGCTCTTAGCATTTGAAAACAAATGGATTATTCTGTGTCTTACTGATTTTGAAGTACTCAGAGGTATTTACCTTGTCTTTACTGCATTGTCTGGTTTTTGCCACGAGTCTTTTGAAAGCCAAGACTAAAGCCCTAAAGTGGTGGTTCACATTTTGATTTATATTTTCATGTTTTATAAAACTCCATTCTGTGTAGAAACACTCAGAAAAATCACACAATTATTGTCATTACCATGAATGATATCAGAAACTGAATATTCTGATTATTGTGTAAAATGTACAATGGCACATCAGGCTGTTTTCTTTTTTAGTGAATATTTGCACTTCTTGTACAATCTGTGGTTTGCATTTCACATTCTACTCGTGTAACATTTACGGAATGTTCTTTAGGAAACCTCAGGTGTCATAATGTGGGCTCAAATCTGGCATGTGGTCAGTTGTCGGAACAAGAGGAAGTAGTGCAGATGGTGTGTGTTAATGTGACTTTAGGTTTGTTAACACCTTCAACTGTGAAAATAATCATTTATGGAGGTAAGAAACAGAATCAACAACAACCTTCATTTGTTATGAGGTGATTTAAACTCACTATGACTGTGACTATGATTCATACTGTAGTTACTGAATGCAGTTTTAAGAGCCTAATAATACAAATTATTATGGTTAATAATTGGATTAATTCATTATTATTATTATTTCCAATGTAAACATTGATTTATTGTTCTACAACAATCAACCTGTTCAAATATGAATGTCTTAAAACCAATGAAGGTGTGTCACGATTATGTGGAAGGAGTGCAACTCTACCTCAGTGATTCACTAAGTACACTGAAAGTGTGTCTGTTGTGTTTGTTTTTCTAACCAAATCCTTGGAACAACTATCAACCCTCTAGGATCTCAGACAAGCAGTCGTACCTCTGAGGGAAAACAGTTCAGCATAATAGGACAAAACAGTCTATGATATATAAAGTCAATATAATTTGATTTTTTATATATCTGTTCATTCTATTTTCTATGTTTTACAGTGGAAGACGTTCCACAAAAAATATGTTTTGGTGACAGTTTTATAAAGAATTTTTTATTCAGTAGGAGCATTTTGTCTAGGAAAAGTGTGTGATTGATTAGTATTGCACCCACGCATTACACTGGGATGCAGCTAAAAGACCGCTATTCATGTGTGTGAGTGTCGGTGCTAAGGAGAGAGAGAGAGAGTGTACGTGCTAATGTGTGTGTGTAATCACTCTGACAGATCGCACCATCAGCCGTCAGCAAATTCTCAACTGTAGGGAGAAACTCATCAGAAGAAACAGAGGAAATATCAAAACCTGTGTTTCAGAACGTTACACTTTATTTTTAGGTCATATGTACAAAAAGATGTAACAGATGCAGAGGAACAGACCTGAGAAGTCCATGCAGACAAAACAACAATTTTGTTTGTTTTTTTCAAATACAAATTAATTATAATATTCTTCACACAATTTAACACAACAATGTTAGTCATGATCATTTCCTACTTATTTTCTTCTTCTTTTTAAATTAATGAATAAAATATAAACAAAGACAGGATGAGAGGAAATGAAGAGAAGGTAGGAAAACAAGTGTGTCAGAGCAGGAGAAGTAAAGAGTTAAAGAGGAAGAGAGTCAGTTAGAGACTAATTCCAGCCCTTTAGTCGTTTCTCTTCTCCAGCTCGTCTGGCTCTGCAGTGACAGCGTGACCAGAGGGAGTTGGCACCGTGTGGGTGCCAGCCAGCCAGTCCCAGTGGGAAAAGAATGGGGCAAAGTTAGTTGCGGGCCTTTTGTGGTGAGCATCATGCTTGGGTGCACCGCCCCAGAGTCCGAAGGGCACCAGGTTGTGCAGGGCCCAAGGGAAGTCGTAGCCGCAGTGGTCTTCAGTGGAAACGTAGACGTTAAAGACCATAAATCCCCACGTTGTGAGACAGTGACATTGGAGTAGGATGGGGTCCACTGTAGCCCAAAAGCCAACGCAGAACAGCTCCCAGCCCGATAGGTACTGGGTAACCAGGCTGAAAGGCTGCGTGTACTGGTGGTGGATGGCATGGAAGGTGCGGTACAGCCATGGGATGCGGTGGTGCAGTAGGTGCCACAGGTAGTACTGAAAGTCAAAGACTACCATGCAGCCCAGGATACCCAAGAAAAAGCTCCAGAGAGTGGGTGCTCCAGGAGGCAGCGGGGTGGGCGGCCTCCACAGCCACTGAGCCACAGCAGCTGGAAAGATGTAGAGCAGGTGGTTGTAGATGGTGACAACCAAGGTGGTCCAAATTTGGGGCCAGGTGACTGGTCTGTCAGGATGGAGCTTATATCTGTTGATGCAGGGCCAGGTGGGAGCCAGCAGGTCCAACACGGTGTAAAGACCAACCAGGAGGAAGTAGGTGGAGACAGACAGGACCACTGGGAAGAGAGGGCTCCTCAGGAGGTCGTGGTGGTTCTGGTGGAGGTAGTCCCAAATAGGTTGCAGGACTAAGTCCTGGGACTGGTCCCCTGTCAAGTTGTCTGCATTCGACATCCAGAACAAAACCTCAGTTCTGAGTAGGCTGCCTGTGCTCATCACTAATGCAGTACCGATCTTCCCAAAGAGGGGTCGATCCAAAAGGATTATTTCCTAACAAGAGCTAGTATAGGACAAAAAGAGACTTAAAAAGAATTGAGAGATCCAATCAGCTTTCTTGTACAGGTTGAGCAAAAGCAAATTGTCTGATGTGGTTGTGCCAAATTGGACTGCAGGGCTGTCTTAGCTCCTTATGTATATTCAAGCCCCACCTCCACCCCATCCATCCCCTGAATTTCAAAAGAAGGCACTTTGTAAAGGCTCTTTTTCATGGCACAAGGACCACAGCCAGGACTCAGGAGCCAGACCACAGCAGCTCTCATTTTTGACCCTGTTCTTGGAGCTCACACTTGAATTATCATATAAATATGACTTTGTCCAGACAACATAATGCAGATATAGAGACTCTCCCATTTATTGATAAGATACACGTCACAAATCATCTGTAACAATAAACAGTCCTTAGTCCTACACGATGATTGCCATGCTCTGTCACGCTTAGATATTCAAGCGCACACATGGCACTGACAGAGACACACACCCACACACATTCAGTACAGTGTAATTAATCAAACACCAGTTGTCAAATTTGACAGATGAATTCAAAAACACTTCCTCTCATATGCTGGGTGGCTGATTGTTTGGTACCCAGTTTGACGTCCTTTTTTCCCCCCAAAGAAAATAAATTCTTTAAAAAATAAGATTGAGTTTCCGAAATGTGACCCTGATATTCAGTGGTGAATTTCAATGTTGCACCATGTGATCTTATATGTAGGATCCAACCGTTTTCATCAGCGTTTTCAACAGTTCTAACATTTTTTATCAAGATAGATAGATGTTTATTTAGACAAATAATAATAACTAAGATTTGTAGAAAAAAAATGTTATTTGTTGCTTCTGTTGAAAATAATTTAATTGGGACTCAAACAGACCTTTGCTGATGCATTACATTTGATCAATCATCAAGGTGCACTGTATACAGATCAGTTACATTTACAGCTAAATCATTTAAAATGATTTTATACTGCTTATTGCAGTGAGGGCCTCTTAAGGCAAAATAATATTTTCTTTATTTATCTTAATTAAATGCGTAATTCGTAAGGTTAAAATTGAAATCATTTACAAAGAATTGCTAGAGGCAGCATAATACATTTGAGACATCTCTGATGGGGCAGGTTAGAACACCCTGTCATGCCACTAAGATGCCAGTAGAGTGCAGCAAATGTCAAGCATTTAAGACTAAGATTTTTTTTATTTTCAATCAAAAGAAGAGAACGTCAACATTGGACGAACATCGAACTCGATTTACGTTAATAAATTGTTTAAACACTAAGATTTCTGGTTAGGCTAAAAATCGATCGATCGAATATTGACAACCTCAAGTAAGTTGATGACGTTTCGCCTCTGATCCACGAGGCTTCATTAGCGCTACTGTTCTGGTGGGGAGTTTCCAGGTATTTATCCAACCCAAAGGGGTGGGGGGCCCATGACCACTTCGAGTAACGTGGTCATGGGCCCGAACAACATGACCGGTAAGTGGTCGTGTAAGTCGTGTAAGGTGGATCGTTCCTCCTCCCTGTCCTCTGGGTGGGGGTGGTTGGTATTACCTGAATAGAGGTGTGAATGGCTGCACTTTCATTCATTTCAGGTGCAATTCTAGTCCAGCAACACCCTGAGGCAGAAACTTGTCCACCCTAAGGACAAGATTCCTAGAGACAAACAGAGTAATGTGGTGTATGCAGTCCTATGCAACGAGGAATGCTCCGACCTGTACATTGGGGAAACAAAGCAGCATCAGACAACATCAGGTCAGGCAGTTCACCTCCACCTGAAGGAGAAGGGCCACTGGTTTGAGAGAGGGGTGAATGAAGCCATCCATGTCAGTCGGGATAGACCATCTTTGATGCTCTGCCCAGAAAGTGCAACATTCAAAAATGATTAATATTTTTGCCTTGCAAGTAAAAGGTGTTGTGGTAAAAATGTTTAGCTGCAGGGAACGTACCGTACAGTAGATGGCAGTGATGCAACTAAAAAAATGCAGGGCTGCTGTTAAAAATCAAAGAGGAGGGGGGTTTAGCAGGATGTTCAGTCAAGCACCATCAGTGTAAGAATCTGAATAAATGTGAATTGAAATTTTTGAAAATAAATAAATAAATACATTTTCTATGTGCCGTATTTAGGTCCTACATCTCTACAAATGGTTTTCCCAACTGAGAATCCATTCTTCATACGATTCAGGGAGATCTGGGAGAACATGTAAACCCCATAGAGAAGGATCTACCAGGGAATGGACCAGTGAACAAGTGCTCTCCTGGCTGTGAAGGTAAGCATTCTAATAAGATTATCTGCTTCGTGGCCCCCATGGCTTGACACGTTTTTCTTGTTTAAATCATACTCCTTCCAGAATAACAACATCTGTCTTAGAACGTTTTGACTGTATCCTTGTATACCCTAGAGCTGGAAAGACAAAGTCTGTTTGAGCATAAGTTACAGCATGGTTTCCCAAAGACTGGGTCGCGATCCTCATGTGGGTCGCAAAAGGTTTTATTTGGGTTGTCTCGCATCACATGACGTTTACGGATAATATCTATTGAATTGTTGTGAAGGTTTGTGACTTTTAAAATATGGGTCCCCAGAAAAACAGTTTGGGAAACACTGAGTTACAGTATACTGCAACCCTACTGGGTTAGTGCACTGGGCTGCAAGAAAAAGACAGCAGAGACAGAACTTCTTGATTTGGACAAATCGGAGGCCATCTGCTTGTGGCCAAACTCTTAAATTTAAAAAGCTCTGGTAAATTTGGGAGTTCCCTGACCAAAACCAGTGACAAAGTGAGAACCATGTCAGCAGCTCTTGATAATGAGTCATACCCATGGGGGAGGAAGAAGAGTTTCCAGACCAAATAACCGCTTGTGTTGAAAGTGAGAAGTGGAGCTCAGCACATGGCAGAGGTGTCTGAGAAAATGACAAGGTGTAAGACTCTCCCATTCAACTACAACAGAATAGTGCAAAATAGTATAGTGAACATGACGCCCATGTCTCTTATATGAGTGAGAGGAAAAATGTTTTTGTGGCTTTAACAAATGGAAAGTTCACTCTGGCGAATGAAGGAAAAATTGCAGACACACCTGACAACTGACCTCCCCCAGGTGTCTGTGGGGGCTCTAGGCTGGGGGGAGGAGGGAGGGAGTATATCAAAGGAAAGATAATGACGAATGCTGCTGACGGAACCAAAGTCTAAGACGTCTAAGGTAACAATAAGTAATAAGTTCTGTATTAACTGAAATTTAAAGATTTCCCAATGGTAAAGAGAGAAACGTATATTATTCAGAATTGAAAGTTTATTATAAGTATGATAACAGTAAACAGTATTTTTAACAAAAACAACAAAATATTTTTTTTCTATATAGTAGAAATAAAAAAAAAAACTAATAAAATCGGGTAGATGCATGTTTTTATTTGCGACTAATACATATGATGCAGTTGTTAATATCAATATATATATAACTTAATCTTCATAAAGTTTGTGTAATCTTAAATCTTTATGTATCTTGTGTAGTTTATCAATTTGGACAAGTCCAAATAAATATTCTTTAGTAAAATTAAATGTCCCAACTCTATCTGTTAGGTCAACCTTCAGTATTTCAGAAGTTAGTGTTTACCCAGTAACATATCGTATCATAGATTCTTGTTATTGTTTTTAAACAGTTGAACTCCTGTAACTGTATTCATCGATGTGATGAGAAACTGATGCAGCTAAAACTACCATTCCTCTAGAAATCACAGTACAGCTCTTTATTTTGAGAATCTTTTTTAAAATAATTTTTAAGTTTAAAGTTCAAACAGAACTCTCTCCCTGTAACAACCACAGACAGTGAACGTCTCACTGTCGTTAACCAGCCTGACACTGTTGCTACAAATTCCTCCCTAAAAATTGCATTGAGTCAGGGGCCACGCTGCAGCCATGGGAACAGTGTCGCTTGATGAATACCTGTGGGGCCTCAAGGGGGGGTTACACAGGTACACGTCTTGTTTTTCTCTTAGCTTCATTGATTAGATCTAGGAAAGAACGACAGTTGCCATGGGTGTCTCACCTGTGGAATTAATTATTGCATCTAAAATAGAGTGTGGCTCACTTAACCTCTGCTCATTTCCCAATAAACAAGCTGAGCCACAGCATCTCTCCTCACATCAGTACGGGACTCTAACCAGGTGAGAGCATCTCCTCTGTGGCCGAACCACGGAGCAGAATTACTATTTGTCCATTTGATTTTATTTGTCTATCGTGTAACACGTGAAACCTTTGCTCCTTCTCCCCAGGAAGTTGCGAAAGCTCTTTGCTCCTGCTCTCCGGAGAAAAATGCCGAGCCAACTTGAAGGTGCGATGGATGCGCTGATCTCAGTTTTCTACAATTACTCTGGAAACGATGGCGATAAGTACAAGCTCAACAAGGGCGAGTTGAAGCAGCTATTGAACAGCGAGCTCAACGACTTTCTCACGGTAAGATGCTTCCCAGCCTGATGTGGTTTTCTATGACGTGGTGGAAGATCTATACGGGTCATTTCATGTTTGTAGTGACGTTGTTCATGATGGAACGTCACCCTCTGAATGACTGGAACTGTGTTAGTGCACCCAAGTGTGACCTCTACATGTACCTGTATTGACCCAGGTCGTGTGTAAAGACCAAAAGTTATTGTGGTCGTTACAAGACTATTGTGTAAAATGCTTCACTGATACAGACTCAAATGCTTACTTAAAAAAAAAAAAAAATGAAGAGCACAGTTCAATGACCTTGTTAAAGGAAATCAGTTTTCTTATCGACTGCCGTCCTGCTGTCGAGTGCGAGTGACGGTGGGTCTCGCACTGTAGCACCATGGGAAATAAAGGAGGAAGACAGATAAGGACGTTTGCAATATAAGCCCCTGACACTGAGTCTGCGTGATAGGGACATGTTCCATCCTGCAGCTCACATGATTGCATCAACAACACGTCACAGGCCTGAAATCTGTCATGCTTTTAGATTTATCTTTTTTCACTTCTTGCCCTTTGCCATGAGAATGGGAAGCCTCAGGTGCTCACACCTCATCAACATCAGTGGCCCGTATCATCTCCAAATATAGACACCTCAGTGATGTCATCACATGCCCCTGGGCCACCATCACCTCTGAGAATAGACAGAGCTCCACAGAGATGAACTTTTTGTTCCCCCTCAATTTCCTTCAGCTGAAAACTTCGACTCCTGGAAAGCCAGGACTTGATGGATGACTCCACATTCATGCTCCGAGTGTCAATAGTGTATTTTAAGATGTAGGTATAAAAATGCATGGAGAACACAGGTGTAAATGACAGCCGTGTGTGAGATGTCAAACCTTTTTTCGGTGTGTCAGAAGGGTTTATTTTTCCACGTAGTAGTGTGACGAGCTCCTCTTGTTACAAAATAATAATATTTTTATCTGTTTATGGTATTTGTTTATCTTTCTTCAGGTGTAACTAAGAAGTAAAAGCATCAGAAAGGGTTTGTTTGGAGTGGAATTGAGGTTAAAAATGTTGAACTAAAACCACTCGTTGATAAAATCTCCTCTCCTCTCCTCTCCTTTCCTCTCCTCTCCTCTCCTCTCCTCTCTTCTCCTCTCCTCTTTTCTCCTCTCCTCTCCTCTCCTTTCCTCTCCTCTCCTCTCCTCTTTTCTCCTCTCCTCTCTTCTCCTCTCCTCTCCTCTCCTTTCCTCTCCTCTCCTCTCCTCTTTTCTCCTCTCCTCTCCTCTCCTTTCCTCTCCTCTCCTCTCCTCTCCTTTCCTCTCCTCTCCTCTCCTCTGCTCTCCTCTCTTCTCCTCTCCTCTCCTCTCCTTTCCTCTCCTCTCCTCTCCTCTCCTTTCCTCTCTTCTCCTCTCCTCTTTTCTCCTCTCCTCTCCTCTCTTCTGCTCTCCTCTCCTCCTCTCTCCTTTCCTCTCCTCTCCTCTCCTCTCCTTTCCTCTCTTCTCCTCTCCTCTCCTCTCCTTTCCTCTCCTCTCCTCTTGTCTCCTCTGAGCTGTGTTCTCCTAATAATTTCATCTCTAATCTTCATGTCTCTTATCAAATCTCTCATCTCAGTTTCACCCCCTCTAATTCGATCATGCTGTAATCTTTCTTCCCACTTTATCTCATGTACCTTATAAGATACATGAGGTACATGAGTCATATAATAATAATTCATCATACTTCTCTGACCTGGTCTTGTCTTGCTTTATCTTGTGTTTTTCATATTTCATTTTATTGTTATATTTTGTTTCACTTATCGAATTCAGGCCTATCATATCTCAGTCACCTGGTCTCGTCTCATCTTATCTCATTTAATCTCATCTCTTATGTCTAACAACATATTTTCTTAATAATCTCATATCTAGTTTTACACATTTATTCTTTCCACTTCATCATTCTATTTTCTATTTTTCTGTCCAATTTTATCTTATAAAATTTAATTTTATCTCCGTTTATCTCACTTCATTCTGCCTCATCTTATCTGATCTGCATGGGTTTGTCTTGTGCATGGATGATCATATTTACATTCTGTCCTTGACTTCAATAAGTTCCACAACATAATGACTATATCTACAGCCATAATGTGTGTATTTGCTCTATCGGTTCAGCCAAACCAATAAGTGATCAGCTGCAACTCAAGGGTCATTTAACACTGACACCCGTGCTCCTGGGTGGACCTGGAATGAAGCATTTGCCTCAAGTCAAACCAATAACGAGTGAACAGACGCGTGTTTGTTCATTCTAATAGGGAGAGCATTGAAGGGAAGGGACTTTTTAATTGATCCAAGTTGAAAAGGGCAGTTGTGAGTTAAATTAAAAGAAACTTGTATCGCTGGTTTTCTGCATTCATTTTCTTCTCTGGTTCTCTTGTAGTCCCAGAAGGATCCGATGCTGGTGGAGAAAATCATGAATGACCTGGACTCGAACAAAGACAACGAGGTGGATTTCAATGAGTTTGTGGTGTTGGTGGCTGCACTCACTGTTGCATGCAATGACTTCTTTCAGGAGCAGAAAAAGAAAAATAAGTAGTAAAAAAAAAGAGCTTGGGAAAAAATGTAATTTAAATCTACTGTAAATCTCCACCATCATATAGGATTAATGTAATTCAAACATAAAAGCAAATCAGATATACATAAAGCTAACATGAGAAATGAGTATTGAGTAGTTCCCTGCATTCAGATTAATGACAGGATCATTTAATTACCCCCAACACTCAATTACACAGTGCTTTGAGATCTTAAGCATATATACAGTATATATGTATATATATACTGTATATATATCTGTATATATATATGTATTTATATATAAATATATATATATATATATATATATTAACAAAACCTTTTCTTTTTGCACATCAAGCTCATTTAGTGCAAATTCTAATAATGGTTTTATGACAACTTATAGATTATGTCATGTCTTTTTTCATAAATCGACCACTTTTGTCATTGTCGTCTTTGTCTTAAGTTCCCCACGGTCTCTTGTCCTCTTCTGTTTTTTGCTTTACTCGTGTTTGCCATATAAAAACTGTGGTGTACAGTACACATATATCTTTCCAGTCATGTTGTTGTTATTACATTATTTTTTTTTTTTCAGCAGATGTTCCGTCTCGGCTCTGCTTTTGCACAAATATCACTGGTGAATGGTAAATACGATATATACGATATATATATATTTAATCCTAGGCACTGACTGATGACACACTCTCTCACTGTCATGTCTGTTAGTATCAGTTAAACTATGGCATGTCTGTTCTCTTGTGTTGGTACAACCATAAAACATGAAACAATGCAAGGGTGTGGTGCTGGTTTTGTTGGACTCCATTGATACAGGTTATAAAGTGCATGATCTTAAACATGTCCTTCATCAATAATGTTCTTAACATTATATAACAATTTATCAATTTCCCATTAAACCATCTCACATCTAAACTTTATGCTGTCTAAGAGAAGACGTTAAGACTATTTCTATTATGGTGGTAGATTTCAATATAAGGTTTTGATGTTTGAAAAACCTGATCAAATGTTTATTTCAGTTATTAAAATCTGATACCATTTGAAATGATAGCATATGTCATATGAGGGGTTTGACTTGGTCAGGTACAGTATATGTCAGAGCAAGACTTATTGAGCTTTCACTGACTGGCCAGCACAGACATGAGGGTCTGTGCTTACGGGAAATGACTGTGTCTCAGTGATGTATGACAATTTCAGATTGAAGGACCGTCTGCGTCCGGCAGCATCAGCCTGTCACGAGGGCAGACTGATCTGCCCTCCAGCAGAATTGCTGATGCTCTCACCTTTAGAATGGCAAAGGAGCAAACTCTCAACTGAGAATTTTCGTCTTTCAATGAAAGACTAAATAAAATTAAAATAAATAGTTTGTCATAGCATTATCTATGACTGATATGGAGAAAAATCAATAGATATAAATAGAGATAATAGAGATAAAAGTGAGCTGCTCTTATGCACACAGATGGCGCCACTTACTGTTACAATGCAATTCATCTATAATGTGCTGTAATCAAGAAGGATCAGTATCCACTCTCATAATAGAAAACGCCAAACAGCGATTGAGATTTTGTCCAATTTATAAAATGTTGCAATCAATTGCACATGTCATTTGACTCTTGTTTTTCACCTGTAAATATAAATTCTTATTTTTTAG